ATGAGGCTGACCATAAAGTGTAACTTGCTATAAAATCAATGTAAGTCTTACATACGCTTATCAGCAGCACGAGGCTGCTTGGTTACAGTATAGTCTGCAGGTTTCTAATATTTATGACGTATTTTAGCTTGTGTTATGGCCACTGTTATAACTACTGTTTGTGTCATGCGAAAGCGGCGTATGACACAAACATGTTGGCCTATGTAAGCACCATTTGCTTTGTACCAACGTTGAGGGTTTGTGCAACTAGCGCAAAGGACTCCCTATCCACCACTTGCAACTGCTCGCGATACCCGTTTGAGTGCACAACTGATTATGAGTTTGAGGGGACGCGCACGTCCGCCAATGCTAATGTATAGTTTCTTTTGTTACGAAGTTGCTTGCAAAACGGTGCTTTTTTCAACAAGGAGTTCTCAACAGCATGAATTTCGAGGGAGCATAGGGTTGGTAGGATGAAGTTGTAATAATTTATTCGAACCATTATCACAGGCTCTTTTTATTTGTCTCCTTTTAATCATATTGCATGTCATCTCAACATTTCTTGTCAAGTACTGTGCTGGCATATTGGATGGCGTGCTCAACTGGGAGCACCGTGCATCGCATGCCCGCATGACGGCTGAGGCGGACAGCATTCCGTTGAGTGTGTTCACTCCTACGCGGCTGGATGCACTTTTGTTCTCGTCCGATCCGCCCACACGTCGTCAGGTTTGTGTGCACGTCGCGTCATGACATTTTACTTAACATAGCTCATAATTCTGTTCCATAATATGAGGTCATATTGAATTCAGATGTGTTCTCTTATTTCTTATTTTGTTTTATCACGCATTTGTATGTTTATCATCATCGTTCATATTCATACAGTAATAACGTATTGTGTACATTGTTTTGGTATTTATTACTTACAGGTTTCATCCTTCATTGTGGAGCTGACGGTCTCCAAGATGGAGCCTGGTTTCTTGCTGCGCGCTCTGTGTTCGGTTCGTGATGAGAGCGGACGCTTCGGTTTGACGGCGTTGGGCTCATCTGCGGACAAAATTCGCATGTTTGTGACAGAGCAGCAAAAGGTGACCAGGACTTCGTTCACATCGACTCCAGTGGTCTTGTGGATCACTGAGCTCTACGTCGAGCATCCCCAGATTTACACAACCAAGAGGTATGGTACAAGCAGTCTTACCATGTGCTTATTGATTAGTCAAGTGTTTGGACTTGAATATGGATGTTGTTGATACACGTTAACGTACATGATGTATATAGTCCCAACTATCTTTCAAATATGTATATTGTACTTTTTCCTACCAGGTCCAGGATTATCAAGGTCACTGATGATGCTGTTGTTGCTCGCGTCACGCGGAGTCTGGCTCCTGTTCTCACAGCACCAACCGACGTCGGCAGCGTCATTTCGTATGTATTGCAAGTTATAAATTACTATCAAGTTTGCGTTGCATCTTAGTCAACTGTAAAGATAATGTCATGTCTGATCAACAGATGCAGTATAAATATCGTTAATATGTACGTTTGTTCACTTTCTTTTTCCCCACTCCCTTACAGTTTGGGAGCCGTGGAGGAGAATGTGATCTCTTTGGGCCAAGAGATCACATGTGCACTCCGCGTGGAGATACGCAGCACCGACGTCACTACAGAGTGGGTCTGTTCATTCAGGCCGTCAGGAGAAGGTGCCCTCCCTTGCGGTTTTCCCGTCGGATGGTGTTTCACAAACGATGGGTACCTCTGCGACTTGGAGCATGTGATACAGGATGCGGACGCGCGAGATACAGTTGTTGCGGTTTTCGACACGACGACAGGTACTAGTGTTTTTTCTTTGTTACTATCGATTTTGTTGTAAATGTTGTTTTTAGTACTGCATGTATCACCATTCATTGTCTTGTGATAATGTAACATCTCATGCTCGATAAGCAATTGCTTTTGATGCTCTTTGTTTTCAAAAGCTATGATGTTATCACACTTAATTGATTTTCCATTTTCCATTTTCTATCAAAGTTGGAAAGCTCGCCCGCACAGGTGTGAGTGCTACAATGAGCTTGAGTGCGCTCAAGAGCGGACTGGAAGGTTTCAGCATTGCGACATGGGTTGCAGCTGATTCTGATGGCAAGCAGGAGATCTTAACGAAGCTCCTCCACAGGCGGCGTCAAATCAAGGTACGTCATGCAATGAAACATAGACATTGTGGTAGTTAATATTTTCTACTGTAGTCAACATTGTAATAGGATAAAATGTTATCAAATTCATCGTTGGTTAAAACGTCATATCGCACAACTTTTGTCATTTGTCCCTTTGATTTCAACACAGATGGTCGTGAAGGCAGCTGGAAATCGTTTTGACAGGACGATCTCTGCATTCATCATGGTAAGTGCATAATCCATTATTGCTTGAGATATAACGCCATACATTATCTTCCTTTCTTACGAATGCAAAGAAAAAATCGATGTTAATTTGCGCATGTTTTTTTTTTTTTTGATGATATTCATAGGAGGAGCATGTTGAAGCTGTGAACGACAACAACAAACGTGAAGCGCCGAATGGTCCACCCGCCATTCCATCGACACCCGTGAAACTCGCCCAGCGTCGTGGCGACCAGGTTAGATACAGAGCGTCATTTTTAACATAAATCCTCATATTCAATATTGATAGGTGGTTCTGGATTAGTGTACGATATAGTGCTGATTGTAGTGTGGGTTTGTTAAGCTTATTGATCCAATTATCAACTCGTGAAACTTTCTACGCGAAGTAATTTCCCTTTTTTTTTTTTCTTTTGTTCCCCGTACTATTGGTTTCTTGTTATGCTGCGCAGGGTCAGTGAGGCACAACGTCTTCATTTCCCTTACATCGATTGGAGAAGAAAAGCAAGGATGATACAAGCGAGATGGGGAATTGTGTGGAAGGAAAAGGAGAAGGAAGGAGAGGGAATGATTGAGGCCGTGCAAAAGCAGTTTTACATAAACTCAAACGATTTTTAGTTAACTATCAACTGTGTGTCTATGCGTGCCTTACATATGCTTGTGAGTGTGCGTGTATGCGTATGCGTGTGTGTTTGCGCGAGCTTATACGTCTATATACCTATCGTGTTGTGGGTGGGTTGCGTCTGTTTCAGGCTTGTGTTAACTTGCCTCATGTATGCAGCAGAGGTTGTCATCGTCGTTAGGGCAGCGTGTTTTCGCTGTTTTAACGACCCCATCAACCTTTGCTGCAGCAATGATGCATTTTAGCATTAGCTTTGAAGCATTCACAATCATTACGTGCTATCCTCGTTCTATGTGTTCTGTTTCACTAATGTTAACGTGTCGTGTTGTTTGTGTTTCGAGGCGTGGTGTTAATATGAATCGTGTATGCAATTTGGGGTTGTCATCGCCGTTGGGGCAGCGTGTCTTCGCTGATTGACTTTGATGCGTTCTCAATCTTTACGTGATGTTGTGCATTGTTCTGTGTGCATTTCGTGGTTGTGGTGTGTGTGTTTCAAGGCGTGGTGTTACAATGCATCGTGTATGCAATTAGGGGTTGTCATCGTCTTTGGGGCAGCGTGTCTTCGCTGTTTCAACGACCCCATCAATCTCTGTTGCTGCATTGATACATTTTAACATTCACCTTGAAGCATTCACACTACACTTCATACCGTACCTTGTTCATTAACACAGTTGTATTAATTCATGTTGATGCCATGTTCGATCGTACCATCCGCCGTATTAATCGACGAGCTGGGACGGTCGGAACAAAATCATGGCTTTAACATGTGTATTTGGTTTCACATTTAGGATATCTTAATCAAGGGTGATGTATCCACTGTTTGAGGCATTCTATTGAACACGGTATTAAACCGTTGTTCTAACGGGTGCTTCAAAGAGTGCTTAAAAATCACTCTTGAAATGATATCCCCAAAATGTGAAACCAAATATAAAGGGTTGCTACGCAACCCAAAAATGTACAAAGCATCCACAGATGCAACTGATTTCTCTTTCTTTCTTAAAGAAATCTTTAAGAGCAGAAAGCCACAAAGTGTACCCTGCACCTATTGAGGTTCACACTTTCAATAGAAGATAGCCGACTCCAGACCCGACGCGGCTCCGTGTTTTCCCAGGAGACTGACGATATTCACGAACTAGATAAACATGTAACACGTTCTCGGATTTGTCTACTTCCCCGTCGTAAATGGATTTGGAGTATCTGGGCTGGGACATGTGACCCCACGACCCGTGGTTGACCGGCCCCTTTGTGTGACTGTAAAAAAAATGAAATTCACGGTTCGCAGTCTTATTACCCCCGACTCGGGATCTCAATCCCCTAACCCTCTTCATGCTCCCTCTCGATTCGCCATTGCCGCGTGCCCTAGCACCACCCGTATCCCTCCTCTCGCTTTTGTTCACACCAACCTAGCCCAGTGTCACCCAACACCCCGAGACACACACTCTGGGAAACTTGGAAGGCAAACCTTCCCATTTGCTTCGGACTGAGCGACTCGGACACATTGGCCAATCACAGGAGGCCATTAGCGCCCCTCCTCCCGCCTTACGTATCCATCCTCATTGCCCCAACGCGTAGCTAACACACGACAACTATGCGCCATCAATACATCGACTTGGCCCGACTGATCGAATGACTATGCGACAGCCATCGGCCGTCCATCCCACAACACACTGTGTCAACGATCTTCTCGCTTCGCAAGTCCTTCCTGAGCAAACTGACTGGCTCAATAGACCCCAACACCGCCTGAATCACGTTGGAACAGGTCACATGTACCGAATGCGTGGGCACTTCCAATGCCATCTTGAAGTTATCCAAACTCCTAATAGACCAATTTATGCGCGTTTAGATTGCTAAAAAACAGCGCCTCGCGCAGCAACGCCACTAGTAGATATCGGCTTCACACGGCCGGAAAGAAGACCTAGGACAGGAGAGCGGCCGGCAGTAGCTGCACAGCATCAGTATGGCAACCTGACTCAACTAGCCGTTGTAGTTTCAACAAGAGTCGAGCGCGGTCAGGTGAGGCGATGGATCGTGTCGCCTCCACTTCGCGCATCCCTGGGCCGGCTAGCGGCTCGGAGCGAAGCAGCGGAACGAGTGGGGCCGGAAGTAATATAATGGCTGGTACGGGTGGAACGAATGGAGCATATGGTAGTGCAGATGCCAGTAGTGCTAGCGGAAAGCTTAGCCTTAAAATTAGCACTGCTGCCGCTGAGGGTCTGAGCAGCGGAGCTGCGCTCAGCTCGAAGTCAGCAGCTGCTTCCGGTAAGAACGCCCCTCGATTTAAGTACAAGCGCACACCGTCACCCCGCGCCTTGCGGGACGGCTCCCCCCGAAGCCGCCGCCCCGCTTCCCCCCGACGCGCGTCCCCCAAGGGCCCTCCGCGCACCCTAGGCGCCGCGGAAAAATGGGCGGCGGCCCTGGCGCAAGAGCGCATCCAAAGGTCCCTCCCGCCTGCGGATGATTCTGGGTTTCTTTCAGAGCCTGAAGGGGGGGGAATGCGCGCAGCTTTACGTGCACGGGCGCATGGGGGAAGCGCTGGCGTTGCAGGCGCTGCCGCAATCCGCGCAATGACGGCGCAGCGGTTTGCGACAGAAGCTGCGCAGTTGCGCGGATTAGAGCAGGCGTTGGCGCGAGCGGGCTCCTCTGCAGCGGCCGTTAGCGGGAATGGCGGAAAAGCGTCGGCTACTTGGGGTGAACAAAAGGCTGCGGGTTCAAGTGTCACGACTGCAGCGAAAGGCAGCAATCTGATAACGCAGCTGCTCCATTCAAGCACACTCGCTTCTATCACTGCAACAGGTATGGGAGGGGCAGGTTTGTCGAATCAAACGACCCAGCTTTCCAAGCCTACAACAGCTGCAGTCTACCACCTCCGCGCGCACCCCGCGGGAGCGCCTGCGCTACAGCTCTCCCCGCTCTTCCTTGCCTACCTCGAAGCTTCCAAAAAGCTTCACGGATACAGCATGTTCGAGCTCTCGTGTCAGCTATCGTCCGTCCACCTCTGGCCGCAACCGGCGGCGCAATACAAGGGGGTCGCAATGCGCCTGCTGCACGCCGGGGGGGCTCCGCAGCAACGCTCCGCCGCACGGCCGGCGGGGGGGAAAGGCGCGGACTGGGAGGCGCTGCAGCGCAGTCCGCTTCTGCAGTTCTACGTGTTTTGCCGCCAGATGCTCCTCGATCTCCTCGCCTCTTCCGCCGCTGCGCTCGACGTTTGCCCCCTTGCGCGCGCTGAGGCGGCTGACCTGGCTGCTGGGCCAAATGCATATCCGAATGCGAATGCGGGTGCGAAGGCGGCGTTTTCGGGCATCGCGCTGTCGTTCGCGCGCAAGCTGTCGGACCTGCGCTGCCTCCAAGCCGCCATGGGCTTCTGTTCTCGCTGCCGAAAAGTTTCCGGTCCTCGCGGTGATGCTGCGTGCGTTTGCGTATCTGACGGCGGGAATCACAGCGTGTCTGCTCCGCAACTCGCGGAGAAGTGGCTGGCGCTCTGCCGTGGACGAGAGGAGACGGAAAGTCAGGCGGAGATAACGGCGGATGGGGGAGAAAAGGTTAACGGCACAGGCACGAAAAGCGCGGGAAGGGCTGCTATTGGCTCGTGGGAGAGCGAGGGCACGGAGATGTTGGAGGTGGTGGCTCGAGTGATCACAGCCGTCCGATCTCAGGAAATCATCGGCAAGTTCAAAGAGCGCATGGCGGAGATCGACGGGGCGGAGAGTGCAGGCGGAGGGGAAACGGGGAGTGCTCGCTCAGCAGAGGCGCAGGCGGTGAAAGAAGCGGAAGAGCGCGTGGCGGGAGCGCTGGAGCGCGCATGGGTGGGGGGCTGGGAGGAGAGCGAGGGGGGTCAGGGGGATGGCGGCGGCGGAAGCGGAAACCTGGTGCCCGTCATCGTGCCGTGCCGCGCCCATACTGCCTCTTCCACTTCCTCCGCCCCTTCCACCCCTTCCGCTTCTTCCACCTCCTCCGCGTCGTCCGCCGCATCGCTGCAGCTGCAGCTCGTAATGCTGCCCTTCGTGCTGCCCCTCTCGAAGCGCGAGCAGCGCCAACCGCAGCAGCAGCTCTCCCACACGAACATCCGCGCTCAGCCAACCAAAGGCGGCCACGTGTTCCCGTCGCAGCCGCGTGACGTGGCGCGCTGGCTCGTGCACATGGCGTGCGTCGACGCCTCGTTGCGCCACATGGCAGCTGCTGACGTGGACCGCGTCCTCTGGGCGCTAGAGCGGGGCCTGGTCCTCGTAACAGACTCGGCCGCCAATCGCTCAGGCACAGCAACTGGCTCGGCAGGGAGGCTCGGAGAGCGAGAGAGGCTGTTGAGGATGCAGCAGCAGGTAACGGCTCTTGTAACTCTGGTGCTGGAGCCGCAAATCCCGGCGGTCATGGCGCCTGCTGCTGCGGGTGGTGGCGCTCGGAAGGCGCTAGAAGCGGCAAGTCCTGAAAGTCGCAGCGCTGGGGGCATTGCTTCAACTGCTCAGGCTGCCGCTGCTGTTGTCGACAATAGCAGCCCCGTCCCTGCCCCCGCCGCTTCTGCTGACGCCGCTGCGCCTGCTGCTTCCTCTGCTGGTCCTCCTGCCGCCGCCACTGGCGCTTGTCGCGACTCTGACGCTGCTGCCGCCACCGCCGGTGCGGTGGTGCTTGTGCCGACCGAATGTGACTATAGCGACGGTCCTGAAGCAACGGATAAGAAGGAGGAGGAGGCGAGCGACGGCGCGCAGTTTGGCATGCCGGTAGAACTGCTGCCGTCCAATCTCGCAGCCTTCGCTGCCATCGGCCTGCCGGCCGCCTCTCTTGCTGCCGCCGCGTTTGGTGATATCGGCCTTCCCCCCGACTCCGCTGCTGCGAGTGAGGAGGCGGAGAGTGAGGAGTGGCATGATGCGGAGGAAGGAGGGGAGCAGGCGGAAGAAGGGACGGGGGAGCAGGTGGGGATCAAGGTGGGAGCAGCGGAGGGGAAAGTGCAGGGGGAGAATGAGGAAGAGGTGAAGGTGGAGAGCAAGAGTGGTAGCGATGAGGTGCGGTCCACCGTGTGTCTTCCAGAAGAGCGGGGGGCTGCAGAAGAGGAGGAGCGAGCAGAGGGAAGCGCGGCGGCGAGAGCGGAGGAGAGTGAGAAGGTGAGAGACGAGGCAGTCAAGCCAGACGAAGTGAAGGAGAGAAAGGAGAGAGAGGAGGGAGATGAGGCCGTCAAGGAGGAGGAGGTTGAGGGGGAGAAACGGGAGGGAGAGAAGAGGATTGAAGAAGGAGGGGGCGCGCAAGAAGAGGTGCTGCTGGCGCAACTGGCGGCGCTGATGCCGGCGGAAGGTACGTGCGACCGACGCAGCGGGGAGACAGGCGAAGGGGGAGGCAGGGGCGGAGATGTGGCTGGCTCGAATGCAGGTGACGGAAAGACTATGGCAGCGCAGATAGAGGCGGAAGTTCCGGAGGAGAAGCGGGGAGGAACGAAGGTGACGGAAGATGAAAGCGGAGAGGGGGGAAAGCGCGGAAGGGCGCGCAAGTGGATGGACGTGGGGGACATGGTTGCGCTATGCGAGAGTATGCTGCAGGGGGAGGGCGGAGCGGGGGAGAATGGGGAGGGGGAGGGGGAGGGGGAGGGGGAGGGGGAGGGGGAGGGGGAGGGGGAGGGGGAGGGGGGGGGGGGGGGGGGGGGGGGGGTGAAGAAGCTGCAGGTTTGCGGTGGTGAGGCGGAATCAGAGAGTGGTGGTGAGGCTGATTCACAGAGCGGTGAAGGGAGCGGGAGTGGAAGCGGGAGCGGAGGTTGCAGTGACCAAGGGTCGGAAGGCAGTGTGACTGCAGAGGGGGGAGGCTCTCTGCCTGCGCTGCTCGCTTGCGCCTCCCCGCCCATGTCTCCGCGCGCACGGCCCGCCGGCCAGTCGTTCTCCGCCACGTCGTCACCCGCCTTCCGCGCGCAGCTGCCGTCAGCAGCGCTGGAGTGGCGCGGAAAGGCCGCCGCATCTTCCGCGTATGCTTCCCCCAAGGCTGCGCCAGCATCTCTCTCCGCGCTCGCTTCCCCCCAGGCTGCGCCAGCTGCGTTCACGTCGCCAGCACTGCGCGCAGCTGCCGCCGCCAGAGCTGCCGCCGCCGCCGCCACTGCCGCCGTCGCCCGCAGCAAGGATGGGCGCGCGGGGAGCGCGGGGGGCGGGGAGAGCAACACTCACATGCCGTCCTCATCGTCAGCGGCGCACTCGCCGCTGCTGTCGCGCATGCAGCAGCGCGTGAAAGGGGAGGGAGCCGCGCAGGGCTCCCCGGATGCCGCCAGGATGCGCGCCGCGGAATTTCCGCCGCCGCTAGACCTCAGCTGGTCGCATGACGTCACCACTCCTGCTGCTGCTACTGGTGCTGCTGCTGGTGGTGCAATGAAGTCGGGGGATGCGGGGTTGAGAACGAGTGGCGGGTGGCAGCGGAAGGGGGAATCAACGGCGGCGAAGGCGGCGGTGGTGCGCGCGGAGGCGGCTGCGGCGGCGGTGACGGCGCTGGTGGCGCGGATTGCGCAGGAGCAGGAGCTCATGCGGCGATCCATAGAGAAAGAGGAGGAGCGGGCGAGGGAGAGGGAGGAGGAGCGGGAGAGGGAGGAAGAGCGGGAGAGGGATAGGGAGAAGGAGGAAGGGAGGGTGGAGAGAAGGAAGGAGAGGGAGGAGAAGGCAAGGGCGAATGTGAAAGCGAGAGAGGGTGGGAAGGAGAGTGGGAGAGGGAGGGGGAGAGAGGGCGCAGGGGGAAGGGTGTTGGGGAAGAAGGCGGGGGCAGGGGGACATGGGGCGGGGAATGGCGGGACTGCTGCGTCGTTTGACTTCTCCCTGGTGTTTGGGGGAAGGGATGGCGGGCGGGGGAAGGGGGAGAAGGCGGAGAAGCGCGAAGGGGAGGCGGAAGCGAAAGGGGAGAGAGAGAAAGGGCAAGTGTCGCGGTCTGTTGACTGGGGAGAGATTGGGAGGATTGAGAGAGGAGAGGTGGTTGTGGGGAGTGAAGGGAGTGAGGGTGTAGAGTGGGAGGAGGCTGGGGAGGGAAGCGAGAGCATTGGAGTGCTGGTTTTCGAGGAGGGAAGGGCAGAGGAGGAGGTAGAGGCGAAAAGGAAGGAGCAGGAGGATAGGGAGGAGAGAGAGGCGAGGGAGGAGAGAGAGGTAAGGGAGAAGGAAGCGAGGGAGAGAGAGGAGAGGGAGAAGGAAGCGAGGGAGAGAGAGGAGAGGGAGAAGGAAGCGAGACTTGCAGCAGTGGCAGCGGCTGCAAGAGCAGCTGCAGAGGCGGCAGGAAAGGCAGCCGTTGCAGTCAGCACCGGAGGTGGTGTTGCAGAGCTGGTGGAAGGATGGGTGGAGGGGGAGGAGGAGGAGGAGGAGGAGGATGAAGAGAGTGTGACGTGCGAGTCGTGCACTCAGTCGTCATCACACTCGTCTGAGGACCGAGTGACTGTGAGGAGCTATGAGAGCTACGAGCGGGCTGACGCTGCTGACACCAGCAGCAGCAGCGGGGCAAGCAGCAGTGACGACGGCAGCGGCGGCAGCAGTGGCGGCAGCAGTGGTGGCAGCGGCAGTGGCAGTTACAGCAGCAGTGCTGCTGGAAGCAGCGGTTCTGGCAGCAGCAGCGGGTCCGGGAGTGGAAGAAAGAGTGGGGAAGGAAGTGTGAGTGGGAGTGCTAGTGTGAGTGGGAGCGAGAGTGGGAGTGAGATAGAGCTTGAATCGCCTGGCGGGGCCGGCAAAAACCTGGCTCCCAGTGTAACAGCAGCAGCAGTGGCTGCAGCAGCAGCAACTCCAGGGATCAGCGCTGCCACTGGCAGGAGCAGCAGCACTGTTAAGGCCACGGCGAAAGAGCACAAGAGTCAGAAGAGCGAGCACACTGGCACACCCGGCAACAAGCCTGAAGGAGTGAAGCTCGCCAGGTCCGGTAGCGGCAGCAGGTCCGGCAACCGCAGCAGGTCCGGAAGCAAGACCAGCAGCGGCAGTGCCAGATCCAGCAGCGGTTTGGCAGGCGTGGCACGGGGTGGTGGTGCTACCAGTGGGAGCAAGAGCAAGAGTAAGAGCAGAGGCACCACAGGCAGCACCGGCAGCACCGCCAAAAGCAGCAGTGGGAAGACTACCAGCGGCAAGGGAAGCAGTGGCAAGAGCAGCAGGGTAGCAAAGCTGGCAGGGGCGGGGACGAAGGGAGGCAAGGCCAGTGCGCCTCTAGCGCCTGTACTGGACCCTGTCACGCAGAACCTTGTGGAGCCTGTAATTCAAGCGGTGGTGGTTGATGGGGGGGAAGCAGGTGATGTTGCTGCAGCAGTGGGCACAGAAGCAGCAGGAGCGGGATCAGGAGTGGCAGGCGCAGCAGCAGAGCGGTTTGGCATGCCGGTGGCGCTGCTGCCGTGCGCGCACTCGGAATTCACTAGCATTGGCCTGCCTTCCGCCCCTGCTGGGACCGCTGATGCTGCTCAGCCTCCTTGTGCGATTGCACCGGCTGTGGTGACTTCAGCAGGTGCTGTGAATGCTGGTCCTTCCACCCCACCACCTGATTCCAAGACCACTCCAACCAAGGTATCTTCTCTCCCTCTTCCTGCCACTCCTCCTGCTTCGGCTCCTGCTGCTGCTGTTACCGCTGCTGCTGTTACTGCTGCTGCTTCGGCTCCTGCTTCGGCTCCTGCTGCTGCTGTTACTGTTGCCGCTGTTGCTGTTGCTGGTGGTGGTGACACAGCTGGCAGCGCAGGCAGCAGGGAGAAAGCAACACAGGACGAAGTGAAGGTGGTGCAGGGGGCAAGCCAACAGCAGCAGGGTGAGGTGGAGAGTGCTGGAGCAGAGAAGGAGGTTCCAAGTGCTGCAGTCACAGCAGACACAGCGCAGCAGTCCAGCACAGCAGCAGCGCAGCAGCCCAGCACAGCAGCAGCGCAGCAGCCCAGCACAGCAGCAGCGCAGCAGATGCAGGGACTGAGCATGCTGGATCGACTCAAGGCACAGGCACGTGCCGAGGCAGTGGCAGCAGCAGCGGCCGGGAGGAAGGGCAGGGCTAATAGCAACAGCAGCAGCAGTGGCAGCAGCAGCAGCGGTAGTGGGAGTGGCAGCGGGAGTAGCAGTAGCGGCAGTGGGAGCAGCAGCAGCAGTGCGAGTGAGAGTGGCAGTGATCCGTCTGCTGATGGCGTTTCCTTGACCGCTGTTGGTAAATCCGCCTCGCTCCCTGTGATGCGCAACCCTCTAGCTTTCCCATCTGCAGCCCCTGCCACCACCGCTGGCACTGGTTCAGCAGCAGCAGTGGCAGCAGCAGCGTCTATCTCTCCCAAGGTCCGCAAGGGGGCCCTGAAGAAACCGGGAAGCCCTTCCCGCTTCGCCCAGAGGCACAGCCAGCACCAGCCACAGCAGCAGCAGGGGCAACAGCAGCAGGAACAGGAGGCAGAGGGGAAAAGGCTGATCCCACGTGTGTCCTTTGCAGCGGTGGCGCTGCTGCTGGTGCCGGGGGTGGGCGTGGAGCAAGTAGCAGTGCGCATGCACACAGACGACCACCGCGCCCCCCTCGTCAGCCGCAGCGGCGTGCCTGCCCGCTCCACCTCCCCTGGCAGAGGCTCGCCTTCCCCCAGTAAAACCCACCCTTCCTCCTCTTCCTCCTCCAATTCCTCCTCTTCCACCTCCTCACCGTCCCCTTGTAGAGGCTCTGCTTCTGCTGCTTTCTCGGGCTTCTCCCCTTCCCCTGCGTCTGTCAAGAGTGGGATGATTTCGCCCAGGGGGTTGATTTCGGGCAGGGCAGGGGCAGCCATGGTGTCTCCAGGGAGGAAGAATGTTACTTCCCCGGGCAGGGAGTTTTTGTCTCCGGGCAGGGGTGGCAGGAGTGGGAGCCGGGAAGCTGCTGCTGCTGGTGGTGGTTGGAGAGACTATGAGAAAGAGAGTTGTGATGAAGCAGGTACGATGCATGGTGGTGTGCTCACGCCTGTGAACACAAGCTCCTCACTCCAAGAGTTTTGAGGCGCCTCAAAAGTTTTCAATCCTTTGTATACATACTCCTTGCTCCTGTTGCTGATGCTGCTCGCGTTTCTTTTTTTCCAGCTGTCACCGCTTCACCTCCGGTCCTCTAACCTGCTCTTCCTGTTCCCCCATTTCCTTTCCCCCTCGTTCTTTCCTGCCCTCCCCCTCTCCTCACCATCACAGCCCCCAGGGAGCACAGGGCACCCACGCCTGCACGTCCCCGGCGCTCCGTCTCCCACACCGCCATCTCTTCAGACGCCCCACTCGTGCGCTCCGCCTCCACACCTCCTGCTGCCGCATCCACTGCTGCTCCCACTGCTGCTGCCTCCTCTGCTGCTGTTACCGCCTCGGTTGCTGCTGCCGCCCTGCCTGCAGCCACGTGCACGCCAGGCGTCACCACGGCGGCCACCATGCGCCATCGCATGAAGGACTATGACCAGTCTCGCATCGACCGCCTCAGGGACGGTGTGCCCCTGGCACGTGACCCCTTGCAAGGTGGTGTGCCTCTTGCACGTGACTCCTTGCAGGGTGGCATGCCCCTGACACGTGACTCCTCTCTGCCGCTGCCTCTCATCCGTGACTCCTCCTTGCCAGCTCACCTCTCGCACCACCAGCCAACCCACCAGCAGCAGCAGCAACAGCAGCAGCAGCAGCAGCAGCAGCAGCAGCAGCAGCAGCAGCAGCAGCAGCAGCAGCAGCAGCAGCAGCAGCAGCAGCAGCAGCAGCAGCAGGGCCAGGAGGAACCCATAAGATGCCAGCGCCTGTTCAGGACGAGGAAGTTCTCCCACTGCGGTCCCGCCGCAGCTCCAAGCCCTCCTCTCACCTCACCGCACAGGCAGGCGCCACTCCTCGCCACCCCCGCTCCGCTGCTCCCTCTGCCAAAGCGTCCCCCACGCAGAGCAGCAAGGGGTCGCCTGCTGCTGCCCCCTCCGTTTCCTCTTCCAGACTATCCTACTCCACCCCGCCGTCTCCCGCACCGTTTGGCCTCGTCCCCCCATCCCCCACCCACTCCCTCGTGTCCTCCACGTTCGCTCGAATCCCCGCGTCTCCTGGGCGGGATCTGTTTGGGGGATCAGCTTTCAGCAAGGAGCGAAAGGTGGATCATGGCGCAGAGGGCGTGGGGAAGCTTTCAAAGGTGCCTGAGGATCCAGGAGAGAAGGCAGGAGAGGAGAAGGTGAAGGACTTGAAACACAGGTGGAGGCTTCCCAGCATGCTGCTCCGAGTGGGCGGCGGGAAATCGTGATTCGGAGGTGCTTGAGAAGTGACTCTGTTGTCAAGGTGAGATCTCTCCAGCCCTTGCTGTGTAGCAGAGGGTTTTCTTTCCCCTTCCTTTGTACTTTGTTCAATTGGCTCGCCCCTGGCTCTGTTCTGATGCTACTGGTGATTCTGATGCTTCAGAGGGTGTCAAACCTGGATGCAAGACTTGATGGAAGATTGGCGCTGTAGTGAGCTCTTCGGTGGCTCGTCTCTAGCAAGGTATCTGGTAATAACTTCTTAAGACTACATTATTGACTCTTGTGGTTGCTTTAGACTTTGTCTTGCTAACTTTTGGCTTGGTAGGGTTATAGGGCATAAGATTCGGTAAGGTTTTAGGGCTTAGTCGATCTCGGTATATTTGTAGAGCTACAGTACCTACTTGATTCGAGTGGTCCCAAGGTTCATCTCATTTTCTAATTCTCTGTTTGCGTTGGTGAGAGCTTGTACTAGTGTGGTTCTTTTAGTAAAACAGATGTGGCTAAGGTGCGGTGCAAGTACTTGATCAAACACACATAAGGCCAAGAGAGGCACCACTGCCAGTGAAGTAGTAACTGCACCCTACACTGCACCCTCTACCCACAACTGCATCTCTTTCCGCACGTCAGCAGCTGCAAAGTCTGAAACGCGGGTGCTGCTGCTCCCCCCAAGGAACGCAAACACTGCTGCTGCAGGGATCAACGGCCCACGCACGTTCTCATGCTGAGCCGGGCCATTGGTCAATGACTCAAACATTTCGTGCTCGGTTGCGGTCGGGAACGCTGCAAGGTGAACAGGAGGAACCTTGTGCATTGAAGGAACATGGTGATTCTGAGGGCCGGACATTTCATGCTTGGGTGCGGTTGGGAACGCTGCAAGCTGAGATGGAGGAACATTGCGCAATGAACGCACACAGCCAGACATTCCCGTGCCAGTAGGATCCTCCTCCTCCTCCTCCTCCTCCTGCTGCTGCTGCTGCTGCTGCTGCTGCTGCTGCTGCTGCTGCTGCTGCTGCTGCTGCTGCTGCTGCTGCTGCTGCTGCTGCTGCTGCTGCTGCTGCTGCTGCTGCTGCTGCTGCTGCTGCTGCTGCTGCTGCTGTTGCTGCTGCTGCTGCTGCCACAGCTGTTGCACCAATCCGACCTCCTCCACCTTCTCAGTCTCTTCAGTATGCAGAGGAGGGCAGTGCTGCTCCCTGCGATTCATGTCGTTCCCCATGTAGCTTGTGTGCTGGGACATGTAACCTGTGCTGTGCTGGGACATGTAACCCGTGCTGTGCTGGGACATGTAACCCGTGCTGTGCTGGGACATGTAACCCTTGCTGCTTGTATTGAAATCTGTGCTGCATGAATGGTAACTCGTGCCACACACGGCCGTAACGTTGCTGCTCCAGGTACGCAGAATTTCCAATGCAGCCATTATCGCAGGGTCCACACCAGCACAGGCTTGGTCACAGGCTTGGGGAGAGGCACTGAAAGTAGACAGTAGTTCATCAATGACAGAAAAGGGACGCTTCTGCCCACTCACAAGCGTATCAGCGGTGGTGGCTGTTACTGGCTGTGAGGGTGAGGCGCTCCCAGTGGGTGCCTTGTGCTCCGAATCGAATCGAATCGAATCGGATGTCACCGCCGACAGAGGAGCATCCATGGCTGAAAATTGCGGCTTTCTCCCATTCACGGGCGTGTGAAGAGTGGTAGATCATAGAGGCGTATCTTGCACATCTTGGTGCGACTCAAGGCCAGCCTGGCCAGGAGCATCAGAAGAAGTTGAAGCACCCAGCACAGTAGCATGCAGGAGCACCCAAGAGTCAATCTCATCCGTCGGATCTTCAGAGTCTTCGCCATCCAATCGACGGCTGTGATCTTTTTCCTGCATTCGACATCCGAGCTCATCAACCAGTCCTTCCAGAGGCACTGTACACCTCACCATGTCAACAGCAGCACTGTTGAGGTCAGTGGAGCAGACACTAACGGGGATGGGAAGCTTGTCCCGCCACGGAGGAGATGACTGGAGGAGGGTGGGCAGGGGAGACAGCGGGGAAAGGTCCCACAGCTCCGGCTGACACGGAAAGTGCAAAAGTGCTTCTGCGGCCCAATCTGCAAAATCAACAGCACCATCAGCAGCGGCGGCAGCAACGGTATCAGCAGCACCCACTTCCACGCTCCCATTCTGCGATGCTGGTATCAGGATGTTCAGAGCCCCACCAGAATCAGCATCCAGGCCGTTCAGGACCGCACCAAAATCACTCGCGACGGCGTTCAGACCGCCGATATAATCAGCTGGTCGATTGGTGTTGAACGGAGTATCGCCAACCCCATCGTGTGAACCCGCGAGGTTGAAATGCTGGTCAGTAGCGCGGCCGGTGGGAAGGTCTTCAGGGCTGTGAGCAGCCCTCTTGTTAGGGTGATTCGCAGCGCCGTCAGCAGGGCGCTTGTTGACACACTTGGTGGGGTCACGGTTACAGGAGACAATGTGGCGAGTGGGCGGACGGCGGATGGGCGTCAAGGGGTGGCGGGCAGGCAAGGGGTGGTTGTGGAGGGTGCAGCGGTAGGTGACTCGGATGGCGTCGGGAGAGGGCGGCTCGTTGCGGTTGCTGCAGGTGATGTCAACAGTCTTCTTGGCCTGGCAGCCTGCCAATTTCCAGCGTCCCAAAGTTGTCCCCAAGAGTCCGAACGGACTCTTTCTGGACGGATTCCGGACGTGCAGAAAAAGAGACTTTTTGGACCAAGGCCTGCTACATTCCGGAGTCTGTTTTAGGTCCGACCAAAGAGTCCGCGAAGAGTCCATTTGGACAATACGAAAAGCGAAGGCAATATGTGTACATCACGTACCCGATATACTAAGATGCGTTTTACCAATAAAATTTATACCCAACCATTGTTTACATGATTTTTAATAAAGAACATGCAAAGGCATTTCTACTTATACAAACTGCTAGAAACTAAATAATGCATTGCCAGATAAATAACGCTGAGCGCGGGTTGGATTTGAAGCGACTGCACCTGTAGTAGCATCTGTGATGCGGGGGGGGGGGGGGGAGTGAGGGCGGAGGGGAAAAAAGGGGAGCGGAACACGGGTGAGACGTGAAGCATGACACAGCCCAGCACGTGTGCGGGACGTGAGTTGCGCACATACATAAACAGACGAACCTGACTTACAGAGCCAACAGGAGTCCAAGCTAGTCAACATAAGTCAACTCGAGTCAATGAAAGTCAACGAGGCTGACCTGGTAACAGATGAGCCCTTGACTTGCTTCTGGCCGTACTTGAGCCAGCTGTGCCCATCAGAACCCACCACCCGCGACACCATCTCCTCCAACCCGCGCCGCCGCACCAACTCCTCCTCGCACGCCTCTCGGCTGGCCGACTGATTCCCAGAGAACGTCTCATTCTCAGAGAGTTGACGGCTAGCCGCCGAGTGCTCAGAAAGCTGACGGCTATATGTCTCCTCCTGTTGAAACCTCGCCAAGAGCCGACTCGTGCCTAACTCGGAGGTAATTGTCATAATGGCAGAGATTAGCCGCTGTTGCGCTCCCAGAAAATGCTGTTTAGGCAGTGGCAGGACGTGCAGTAGTAGTACGAGTGCTACGGGTAGCAGCACTAGCTTGGATTAGATAAATTTTCAGACTGGGAAATGAGGGTCCAAAGATTGTCTGATGAGAACGTGACCGCCCAGTAGCACTGTACGAGGACTCCTGTTACTGGGAGTAGCACTACTAGTACTCGTGCTGCTACCAGAGAGTCTCTGGTAAGAGTGTAGAACATTCGCTTCTCTGTCCGGCAGGAGAAGAAGCATGGGAGCAGGTTGACTGTGACGGCCGGACAAGCGCCGCCAGCCCGGAAGGAGCATGGGCCATTGCTGGAGGGATTGCGCATGGTCATTGTTGATAACGAAGGCCCTTCCTGATTGGCGAGGCCAGGCCATGCTACTCGCCGCATAGATGCGAGTCGCATAGACTGCCTGCACCACGACGGAGAATCCGGCTCTTGTTCATCTGTGTACACCCTGTTTTCGCTACACTGAAGTGTGCAGAACTGGCTGGCAGACCTTGTTTTGTTCAATTTGCCTAATTGAACCATACCGAAGTGATCTAACCACCTTTAACCGTGCTTTTCCCATCTTGACTCCACAATAACGGAATCCACTATGGCGAGAACGAGGGTGTATCAGCAGTGCTCTGTCACCAGAGCGCGCATGCGAGATAATCTCCGACTTGAACGATTGGCGTGAACCAGCCGGACATGCAACTCGGGTTTGCAAGAATTTGTCGGATGCGATCAATGACAGCGTGGTTCACTAGGGTTGTGAATTGCGGAGTCTTGTCGTCGTGACGTGTCTCGCTTGGGAAGATGAGCAGAGGAAATCCCCTCAACCCCCTCCCCGTTATACAGTAGTGGGGAGAGAAGGGAGGGAGGACGGGGAAGCAATTTGAGGAGCTCGACTACCCGTCAAAGGATACAGTGCAAACCTACACGGCATAGACTTGGGCCAAAGTCCGTCTCAGTAGCAAAGAAGTTATTTGCTAAACGCGCTTACGTTTTTTTTACGTGCTTCATACTGAACTAGCGCGATGATATACCTACACGATTCGCGTCCAGTCCAGTGGCGGCAGCAGTGTCCGTGTGTTGTGTTGTGTGCAGAACCTTCTTCGCCCTCCCACGGGATGCTGTCTGTAGTGACAAGCAGTCAAATACGTAGGCAGGTTGAGCAAGCTGCAATACTGTAACACAAACGACGCTGGTGTCGCATCTGCACATCCTTGTGCAGTCTTGCCAGGAATGTCCATTGTCCACCGATCGGCCATTATCTCCGATACTCAAATTATGCCCGGAGCGTTTTTCGTTCATACTCAACCTGTATTCCTCATCGCCGATTGGCTCTCGCTCTTTAATCACACTTTCTACGCTAATAATACTGTTGAAATGTGATAGAAACAGAACGTGGTTACTGAACGCAGTTACCACATTAAATTACGAAAAATTGTATCGAGCTTTCATGAGAACTTAAAACTCGCGACTCATATTTACAAACGTTCTACACTTATACCCTGACGTTTAACACTTGGCTGGTTTGCTCGCCCGTGATTGGTGAAGCAAAAAAGTTACCCCAGCTCGTCATAGATTTTGTAGTTCGCCAACCAATCACGGAATCCTAAATCCAACCAAGTCTTCAACAGTTTTAAATTTGAGATGAAATCTTTCAATCCATATCTATGCGCCCTTGGATCGGAGCTTAACTTCCATAAAGAACAATAAGTATATTAAGACTCATTAAAAAACTGCAGGCAAAAGCGAAGGCATCAACCTTAAATATTTGGTAGCTTCCTGTATTTATGTTTGATTTTCCCAAAGTGTATTCAGGTTATCTAAGTGTTTCATTTTATATCTTGTTTTGTTTGCAGGGGTATGTGCAGGTGAGGTGTTAGTGGCAACTTTGTTTCAGTTTTGTGCCTATAACGAAATAAAACAGTATATGTGAAAAATATAACGAGAAATTGTCGGTTGAGTACGAACGAAAAACGCTCCGGGCATAATTTGAGTATCGGAGATAATGGCCGGTCCACCAATCTCTGGCCACTAGTGGGCAGGGCAGAGACCAATGGATGGACTAAACTAATATAGCACAGGTAGGCGGGGTGTAGGAAGAGCAATTTGTCAAGTTCATCGTACGCACTGTGCAGAGGGTTTAGGTGTTTCAGATCAAACCCGGGTTGATGTTTGATAAAGACCTTTCCTATACACTGACAACACTATCCCAACCAAATGCATATTGTGTTTCCAAAGTTGTGCTTTCTTGATTTATATAATTAACAGAAAAATTAAGAGTCATTTTTTCCTTGCATTTTTTTTTGCCACTTACACTAAAAGAAACACGATTTTATTTCATGATATTATGTGCTACATTTCTTTTTCTGATATTGGGAAGCATAGCCACCGCTCTCGAGTGTAGTAACATCTAAACGCAAATCGAGTTTTCCCTGAACCTCCATTTTCTCTGTTCCACTTCACAAGCCTTCCCCTTGCTTGTCGTTCCTTTCGGTCTAGGTTTGGTCATGAAGTAGCGAGTGAGGTCGTGCTTCGAGAGGCCGGGATGCAACGCGACGAGCCGTGAGCAGCATATTACTGAATTATACTGATTCAGTCTATAGCGGGGAGCGCAAGAGGTGACTTTTGAGTCGACCGTGAAGTCGTCGTCATTCAGTTAATGTATTGCTCTAACTCAAGTCAATCGCTCGTCTCTGTCCGACTTAGATCCCTCGATTCGCTTTTAACGCTGCTCCCCGGAGGTTAATGGAAGACAAGTGCCCTTTTTGCGGCAGTCGGGAAGGTGCGCGGAACCTTCCCGCTCCGCACGGTCCGGCACAGAGTCTGTCGCACCAGCTGTCGCAGAACCCGTCGCAGGGCCAAGTTAGCCATAATACTCCCCATCACACGCCACTTCATGCGGCGCATCACGCGGCGCAGCAGCCGCCGGCACAGGCGCCGTATGAGACGGTGCTGGTGGCGTGCGCGAGTTGCGAGCGAATCATCGCGGAGCGGCGAATTATCCCGCTGCTGTTCGTTCCACGCACTGTCGAGGAAGCTTCTTTTTGTGTACCTACCAGGGACATACTGTTGCACGCGAAGCTTCGTCCGCACGAGGTGAGAGCAGCAGCGGATAAAATAGAGGAGCTCAAAGCCATGAACGATGCAGAAATTAAAGCCAGAGACAATGAGGAGGTGAAGCCAGAAGTAGCAGCAGCAGATGACAGTCGAGGAGCTGCTATTTCAAGGAAGCCAGAAGTGAAGGCGGAGACAGAGGAGGGTTTCATGGAGAAGGGGAGGAGGGAGGCGGGGAGGAAAGAAGAAAGTCTGGGAGGGGAATGGCAGGAGAAGGTAGCAGGAGAGCAGGTGGGGAAGGAAGAGGAGAGTAAGTCCCTGGTAGGGTTTGATCTGAACTTTGATCTGAACATGGATGTGATGGACGGTGGAGATGAAGTGGCGGGAGGGAGGGTGGCCGGTGGAGATGAAGCAGTGGACGGGGTCTTGGAAGTGCAGGAGGGGAAAGAGGAAGACGAGGATGGAGAAGAAGAGGAAGAAGAGGAGGAAGAAGAGGAAGAGGAAGAGGAGGAGGAGGAGGAGGAAGAAGAAGAGGAGGAAGAAGAGGAGGAAGAAGCGGAAGTGGAGGAGGAGGACATGGAGGAAGCAGAAGCAGAAGAGGAGCAAACGAGTCCCAACTCCCTCACGGACGACGACCCGTCTCCCCGCTTCCTGGACCCCTCAGACCACTTCCTGGACGTCTTCTCCTCGCTCTCCCTCGAGTCCGCCCCGCCACTCTTCTGCGCCGCCTCGCTGCCCTGGCCAGCTGGCGGAGATGGAGCGGCTCATTGGCCCAGTGCTCTACACTGGGTGCTCGGGGGGCGCCGGGGGGAGTGCCGTGGGGACGACTGATTTCCTCCGCGCCTATTTTCAGGTGAGACCCCGAGTGTATGGAAACTCTCTTTTCGCCGCCTCTCTCGCTACCCTTCTTGGGCCAGCTGGCGGAGATGGAGCGGCTGATTGGCCCCGTGCTGTACACTGGGTGCTCGGGAGGGGTGGCGGGGAGTGCAGTCGGCACCACTGATTTCCTGCGCACCTATTTCCAGGTGAGACCCTGAGCATACGGAGAATCTGTTTTCGCCGCCTCGCTGCCCTTTCTTGGGCCAGCTGGTGGAGATGGAGCGGCTGATTGGCCCGTGAGTGCTGTACACCGGGTGCTCGGGGGGAGCGGGGGAGAGTGCTGTGGGCACCACGGATTTCCTTCGCGCCTACTTCCAGGTAAGACGCTCAGAATGGGGCCCACATGAGGTGACTGTCTTTATGCCGCCTCGCAGCCCTTCTTGGGCCAGCTCGCGAAGATGGAGCGGCTGATTGGCCCGGTGCTGTGCACAGGCTGCTCCGGGGGAGCTGGGGGGAGTGCCGTGGGCACCATTAATTTTCTCCGCACGTATTTTCAGGTGAGAACATCAGGACCCCGCGGACTGCCACTTTTCTTTCAAACAGCAGGAGCAGCATCTCCTTCCTCCTACTAATTTCCCGCTACCATCTCTTTCCCGCCCTTTCCCTCCCCTTCCTTTCTCAGATTCTGGAAGTGAGCGGGCTGCCGGACGTAGACCAGAGCATCACGGACCAGAGCAGAGCGCTACGAAGCACTTTCAAGTCGACTCAAATCAAAGCTCTCCTTCCCATCCCTCTCCCCACCCTAACCCTCCCCCCCCCCTTTCCCCCTCAGATTCTGGAAGTGAGCGGCCTGCTGGACATAGACCAGAGCATCACGGACCATGCGGTTACCCTATTCCGCGACTACGTGGTGTCGGCAGGCGGGGCTCGGAACCGCAACATCGAGGCCCTAGCAACAGCAGCCGTGGTGCAGGCCATGCGCGAGGCGCAGGAGGCCCGCACCCTCCAGGAAGTGTCCCTGGTGGCGGGGATTGCTGTGAAGGAGTTGGGGAGGAGTTTGAAGGGGTTGATGGAGGTGCTGCGGCTGCAGCAGCCTGTGAACTCCAACTCCGTGTCCTTCCACATGCCCCGCTTTGGGTCCATCCTGCAGCTCCGCAAGTCCACCCAGGTGGGGTCAGGCGACCTGTCTCTTGCTCACCCTCTCACTCACTCGTTCACTCACTCGTTCACTCACTCACTCACTCACTCACTCACTCACTCACTCACTCGCTCACTCAATTACCATCAGCCTCGCTGTTGGGCCATGTAATTACCTTGTGCTTCTCTCCTGTACCCACTGTCTTCCCTACTCCTCTTCCCTTCTCCCCCTTGAACCCCCCCACCAGGACCTGGCAACACATGTGGGCGAGGTGGTGATATCCAAGTCCTTCTAAACGCGCCGCAACCCCATCAGCATCAGCACCCCCCTTTCACCCACCTTGTGCTTTCCTTCTCCCCCCTGTCTTTCCCTCCCCTCCCCTCTCCCCCTCCTCCACCCATCAGGACTTGGCAACGCACGTGGGCGAGGTGGTCATTTCCAAGTCATTCTGCACGCGCCGCAACCCCATCAGCATCAGTGCTGCGGCCATCTACCTCGCGTGCCAGCTAGAAGACAAACGGCGCACACAGACTGAGATCTGCAAGGCCACCGGCCTCACAGAGGTGCGTGCAGTGCGGTACAGTGCTGTGGAAAAGGGGTGCAGTGCGGTGCAGTACGGTGACCGACAATGCATAGTACTGCCCCTGGGCAGTAGCACTAGGGCCACCGGTGCCCCTGGGCAGTAGCACTGTGACGCTAAGGAAGGAGCCGCTGGAGAATATCGACTACCTGCTCCCTTCTGGATGTGTGTGTGTCTGTGTGCTTATGCCGTGTCTGCACGTGTGCATTTGTCTTTGTCTTTACCACCAGGTGACGCTAAGGAAGGTGTAAAAGGAGCTGCTGGAGAACATCGACAATCTGCTCCCTTAGTAATTTGTGTCTCTGTGCTTACGTTGTGTTTTCTCGTGTGTGTTTCCTTCCTTCTGCTCTGATCTGACCCCAGGTGACGCTAAGGAAGGTGGACAAGGAACATAGACGACCTGCTGCCTCCGGGATACGAGCCCACCATCCCTGCCTGCAGGGTCGCCAGCAGCCAGTGTGTGTGTTCCCGTCTGAACCCGTGTGTGCTTATCCCTTTCACTCTGCCAGGTGACGCTAAGGAAGGTGTACAAGGAGCTGCTGGAGAACATAGACGACCTGCTGCCTCCGGGATACGAGCCCACCATCCCTGCCTGCAGGGTCGCCAGCATGCCGCTCTCTGGCCATGGCGCAGGGGGCGGGGGAGGGGCAGGAGGTGGGGGGAAAGGGGGAGGCGCAGGAGGGGGAGGGGGAGGAGGTGGGGGAGGGAAGGGAGCGGGAGGAGGGGAAGGCGGGGGGGGTGTTGCTGGCGGGAGGGATGGGAAAGGGGGTGGAGGAGCAGCAGTGGCAAACACAACAGCAACAGTAGCAGCAGGGACGGTGGCGGCGGCAGCAGCTAGGGCCGCATTTGTTGCAGCAGGATCAGGTGGGGTTGATGCAGCAGCAGGAGCAGGATCAGGAGCAGCAGGAGGAGGAGCAGGAGGAGCAGGAGAAGGGGGAGCGGGAGGGGCAGCAGGGAGGGCAGGAGCACAGACATCATTGGGCCACAAGGTCCCTTTCCCCTCCCCCTTTTCCCATCTCGCTGCTCCTGCTGCAACTGCCACCACTACACCCTTTTCTCCTCCTGCTGCTGCTGCTACTGCGTCTGGTTCAGCCACCCCCGCGGCATCCCTCGGGACCGCGTCCGGCCTCGGCAGGACGGACAGCCAAAGCTCCTTCCCCTCGTGTGCTAAATCGCCAGACAAAGGCTCTGCGTTCCCCTCATTTGGCGCTGCTCACTCGAGTCTTGATGGCAGGGCGGAGGCCTGGCAGCAGCAGCAGCAGCTGGGTGTGCGACAGCAGCGGTTACAGCAGCACTCACAACTGTATCAGCAGGTGCAGCAATCGTTCCAGCAACAACAACAGCAGCAGCAGCAGCAGCAGCAGCAGCAACAACAGCAGCAGCAGCAACAGCAGCAGCAGCATCATCAACAATTTCAGCAGCAGCAGCAACAGAAGCAGCATCAGGGAAAACAAAGCACACCGCTCTCTCTCCCCACCTTCCCTTCTCCTCCCATACGCCCCCCACTCTCCTCCACCTCCCCTCGTCCCCCCCTCTCCCTCCCCTTCCCCCCCTCCTCATCTTCCCCTCGTCCTCCCCTCTTTCTCCAGTTCCCCTCCTCCCTCGCCTCCTCCTCACACCCTCCTCCCCCTCTCCCTCCTTCGTCCTTCCTCTCCTCTCCCTCTTCCCGCTCCGCACCCCCACTCCCCCCAGGCTCATCTCCCTTTAAGCGCCCTCCCTTGGTTCCACCCGTATCAACTCCCCCTCTCTCTTCCTCCACCCCCAACCCAGCTGCACCGTTCTCCACCGCATCCTCTTCGCCATCACCCATGGCCCTGCACATGCCTTTCCTAGCCTCCATGGCAGCTTCGGCACCAGCCACAGCTGCTGGTTTGGGGGCAGGCTTGGTGGGGATGGGAGTGGGAGGTGTTGCCGGTGGTGGTGGTGGTGTTGGTGGTGCTGGTGCTGGTTCTGCTGCTGCTGCTAATGCAGCTGGCAACAGCTCAGGTCCACCAGCTAACTCCTCAACCCAGAAGCCCAATGCAACGCCTCTCCTCTCCTTCACTCTTCCCACCAACTTTCACCACCAGTTCTCTGCTACCCGCCCTCCCTCCAATCCCTCTGCTGTGGCTCCCTGTCCAAGATTCCCTGCCCCTGCTCTCTCTGTGCCCCTACCTCCCTCAACCACTCCCAATCCTTCTCTTCTCCACGCCTCTCTACCTGCTGCTGCCGCTTCTGCTGCTGCTACTGCTGCAACCCTAGGTGGTGGCGGTACTGCTGCTGCTGCTACAGCCGGTGGTGCTGCTGGTGCTACAGCCGCTGCCGCTGGTTCAGGGGGGATGGGAGGGTTCGCGCTGCTAAAGCTGCCGAGAGACCTAGCAGAACCGTTTCCTCGCTCCTCCTCTGATTCCAGCCTTCGACCTGCTGTCCCCACTGCTGCTCCTGCCTCCACTGCTGCTGCTGCTGCTGCCACTGCTGCTGCTGGTGTCACAGGAGGGTTTGGAGGCATGGGAGGAGGGATAGGGGGAGGGTTGGGAGGAGGGTTCGGAGGAGGCATGGGAGAAGGAGCAGTAGGAGGAGGAGCAGGAGGGATGGGAGGAGGAGGGACAGGAGCAGCAGCAAGTGGGCATGACAGTGGTAGTAGTGGTGGTGGGGGTGGTTCTGGGTTTGGCGGTGGGTTTGGTGGTGTGGGGAGCGGTGGAACTGCTGTTGGTGGAGGTGCAAGCCAGGAGGCAGGGACGCAGGCAGCGAGAGGGCGAGCAGGGGCGGGGGGCAGAAGGGGAGGAAAAGGTGGGAGAGTGGGTGAGAGGGTGAGTGGGAGAGGAGGTACAGGAGCAGTGCCAGCGTCAGCAGCAGCACTGTCAACAGCAGCTGCTATGGTGGCACAACCAAGCAGCAGTAATCAGCACGGCTCTTTAGTCGCACCACCGTTCTTAGGAGGTGGGAGTAAGGGCGGGCCTGCTGGGGCTCAGGAGATGAGTAGCCCATTCCGCTTTGGGGCAACGCTCCAAATTCCCCAAACAGGCCAGCAATCAGCCACAACCCAGCATCAGCAGCAGCAGCAGCAGCAGCAGCACAGCCAGAAGGGCACCCACCTGTCTTCTGTGTTTCCTGTTAATGGTGGTGGTAGTGTTAGTGGTGCTGCTTTTGCTGCTAGTGCTGCATCGGCAGCTGTTAAGTTCTGTGCTGGACAAAGGACAACTTCTGCTGCTGCCACAGCTGATGGCAGTGCAGCTTCTGCTACAGCTGCCACCTCGTCTCTTCCTGCCTGGATGACCCACGTGCATCGCCAGCAGCAACACATGCCCCAGCAACAGCAGCAGACACAGCAACGGCAACTGCACCAGCAACAGCCGCAGCAACCGCCGCAGCAGCACCAACTGCACCAGCAGCAGCACCAGCAACAGCAAGATCTCCAGCAGCAACAACAACGCTCAAAACAGCCGCACCACCAGCAGCAGCAGCAACAGCAGCATTTACAACAGCCGCATCGCCAGCAGCAACAGCAGCAGCAGCATCATCACCCTCACGCTCAGCTGACACAACACCCACCCACACATCCTCCTCCCTTCTTTGCCCCTTTCCCATTCGCTCCCCCCAATCAAGGACCCTCACCACAGCTACCTCCGGGGTTACGACCCGAGCATGTGGCAAACACTGGCACACCTCAAGGGTTCCCACCCTTTCTTCGAGAGGCCAAGCCTGGTTTGTTCATGCAGTCTTTACAGCAGTCGTCAAACCCCATGAAGAAATAGCAGGCATGAAAGACACTAATATCTTCTTTTATGGATTTGCTGTCAGGTTCCGTTGTATGGCTCTTGATAAATGCTGCTAAATAGTTTCAACAAAGTGCACTATTAGGCCAAGCTGGCTTGGTTCATGTGTTCAGAAACTGTAAAAAAATACCATATCCTTGACAATGGACTATTCTTCTAACTTATTTCAAATTTCATTAATCCCATCATTTATCAATGAATGACCCTGTGATTACAGCTGCATGGTCTGCTGAACTTGTGACAGCTTTTTCTCAGCTGGTGTCTCGATTGTTGAGCCCTTTTCCGCCATGGCCGCAATTGCCAAGTGCGCGGTCCCTTCCGTCACGGGCCCGAGGGCGACACCGATCCCGACCTCCGTGCAGCGGCTGCGAAATGGCACGGCGAACGCGTTAGTAGCCGTTAAACTCACAATCGACGAGGCGGGAAGTCATGTGGTCTTCTCGAGGTTAGGATTGCGAGCACATGGCGATTCCGCGCTCGTTAAGATATTGTTCTCTCTTGCAGCATTGTCCTTGCGACGGCAACTTCTTCCAGGCAAATCATTTGACAATCTAGCTGTTTTTTGGACGGCCTCGCATGTTACCGTTGTGTGTCCTCGCACTTAGCTCGCGCAACCTGCGCCTTTCAGGCGTCTCTCCCGCTCCCTGCGCGTTTCCCCGTCACTGTCAGGATTATCGACAGCACCGCCACGTGGCAGCAGACAAGCGACCAGAGCCATGGCTGGTAACCAATCAGAAGGTGGCGACGGCTCCTCTGCTTCCGATCTGAGCCGCGTCTGTGTGGTAGGAAATTGAGAGTCAGGTTATGAGTATTATAGACAATTATGTTCATTATGGATGATCATGGGTGACAGTGGATGAGCATGGATGACAATGGATGATCATGTATGACAATTGATGGGTCATTTTTATCAATTGTCGTCATGGGTTATCATGGATCATCTAAATCTTTCATGATAGTATGAATCAATACTAGTTTCCATCGACCAGCATGGCTATCGTGGACTAGCATTGACCATCGTGAACCATCACTGCCCAGCAGCATTGACCATCATGAATCACTCTGGTCTATGAACGTAGCACCGATCAGTGGGAATTTTTCACAACCTTTCCATGCTGGTTAATGGCAGGTGGGCTGTGGAGGGCTGTGCATCGACTATCTCGCCACCGTCACCTCCTTCCCCCACCCAGACGACAAGATCAGAAGCACTTCTTTCGAGGTACGTTGGCGTTCCTCTCTCTTCCCATCCCTTTTTTCTTACATGGCGCTCTTGACCGTCGCAGCTCTCATGCACCTCGGGGTTATCAAGGTCGTGTATGTGCACTGCTGCTCTTTTGGTTTGTGCCTCTCTGTTGATATGCTCAGAAGTGCCTCTCTGTTGCTATGCTCATAAGTGCCTCTCTGTTGATATACTCATAAGTGCCTCTCTGTTGCTATGCTTGTGTGCTCTGCCACTCTGCTCGTGTGTGCACTCCAGGTGCAAGGGGGAGGCAACGTGGGCAACACACTCACGGCCATCTCTCGCCTTGGCCTCTCCACACGCATTTTCACAAAGGCACGTTGGATTCTACAAAGCACATGAATTTCTTGTCCCATCAGCCTTCCTGTCTCCCCTAGGTCCAATCACTCCCCCTCCCCCTAGCACTGCTTGCCCCCCTGCCCCCCTCCCCCTCTCCCTCCCCCTCCCCCCCCCCTCCCCCTCCCCCTCCCCCTCCCCCTCCCCCTCCCCCTTGCCGTCCAGAGAGGGTCTCCTTCTCCCTGTTTACTAACCCCAGCTCCCTTTCCCCTTTCCTCCACATTCCCCTTCCTCTCAATCCGTCCACCCTGTGTGTGAGCGACAGCTGGCGGACGACCTGGTGGGGAAGGCGATGATTGCAGAGCTGCAGGGGGATGGCGTGGACACGTCACACATCATTGTGAGTCCATTCCACGCCAGTGGCAGTGAATTCCACGTCATTGCGAGTCAATGCCACATCGGTGTGAGAGCAAGTTCCAGGTCATTTGAGTCCATGCCACGCCACGTCATTGTGAGGGATCTCCTTTCACATCACCACCTCTCTATTGAAATTCCTTGCAGTTTTAGGAATGTATCGGTGTTGCCATGTGTGCCTGTCTGGTTGCTATGTGCTGGGCAGGTTGGCAAGGGGGGCATGTCTCCATCAACATACATTATTGTGGATCAACAAACGTCAGTGCCTCTCTGCTTCCCTCCTTGCCTCCATCATCTCGTGTCCCTTTGGAGCTTGTGTTCCTCCTCCCTACCTGTTCCGTACCTGCATTTCTTGTCCTCAAAATCCCTCCCTTTCCTTTTTCCTCAATCACATTCTCTCTCAAGCAGGCCTTGCCTTCTTTCATAAGCAGTCCTTGTATTGTATCTTCTACCACTGACTCTGCTTTGACACTTTCATGTATTTCCATGTCCCCTCCACGTATCTGTTTCTCTGTATCTCCCGTCACCCCTCCTCCCATCACCCTTCCTCCTGTCAACTCTCCTCCCTGCTCCTCCCGTTACCCCTCAGCAACACGCGCACGTGCATCCACACGCCCGGCTCCCCACCCCTACTCCCATCGGAGCTATCAGCTGCTGCCATCACATCGCTGCTCGCTGGGGCTTCACTCGCCTACTTCGATGGCCGCCTGGCCGACACCACCATTCGGATATGCCAGCAGGTGCATTCACTATGGATTTCTGCATGCACTTGCTGTGAAATTCCGCTTTCACCTTGGAACTGCACAATCAAAGTGCAACCTTCATCTGCAGCTCCTTCTTTATTGCTCACACTTTACCATGGATCGAATCGACCCATCCAGTGGCCCTGAGACTGCGAGTGTTGGTGGTTACTGTGAGGCTCCGAAGTGGGTTCAAACTTGTAAGCACTTCAGAAATACTTTCCTCCTCTTCCCCCCTCCCCCTTCTCCCCGTCTCCAGGTGGTGGCCCTGGATCTGCCAGTGCTGGTGAATGCTGAGAAGCCCCGAGAGGGCCCAATCTTTTAGGCACCTCAGAAATACGTTTCTCCCTTCCTTCCCTCCCCCCCCTCTCCGTCGCCAGGCGGTGGCCATGGGTCTGCCAGTGCTGGTGGACGCTGAGAAGCCCCGAGAGGGGCTGGACGACCTGCTGGCCCACGCCACATATGTCGTCGTTTCCGAGAAGTTTCCTCAGGTCGGTATGGTTTGTGAACAGTGAGTCCCTGTTTAACGCATCTTGGCTCTCTTCCCTCTGCAGCACTCTGCTACTGCAGTAGTGCAGCAAGCCCCTGGGGCCTGGGATGAATGCAGCCTCTGCTGAATGCACCACCTTCCACAGGCACCCTACAGTCATAGCAGTATGCTTCCACAAATCGCTTACTGTACTTGGGATGGCATGGCATGGCATGGCATGGCATGGCATGGCGACGTGCAGGCATGGACGAGGGAGGAGACGCTGGGAGCAGCCCTGCTGGCCATGGCAGTGCGCCTGCCAAGGGCACGCTTCATTATAGTCACACTGGGGGCGGCCGGATGTGCCATGCTGGACCGCCGGGTTGCTGCAGGTGAGGACTTGCTGCAGTGAGTGCTGTGTGCTGTGCGGTGCAGAGCGGGATTTAATGGTGGAAAGTGTTTCAGTTCTGATTCGTATGGGTAGAAGTGGGCAGCGACTCTTTGCAGCGTATGAGTTTGTGCCCCTCTTCCCCCACCCCCCCCTTCTCCCCGTGCGTCTCCCCTGCAGCCGCGGATGCACGCAGTGAGGAAGTGGACAGGGCACTGCAATGGGTGATCAGAGCCGCGGAGGAGAAGGGCAGCAAGCAAGGCAACCCTGCTGTCTTCTCCTCTGGGGTACTCATTCTCCCTCCCGTGACCCATCATCACTGCACTGCTGCTGCCCTTGCCACCCTTGCTTCTCCTCTGCTCTCTGTGCCTACGGCTTCTGAACGTCTTACCCTGTCTGCAATTTTCCTATTTGTCTGGTCGAGGCATCCAATCTTGGTGGCTAGGACGTTCTCTTCTCTTTGCCATCCGTCCTGGTGTTTCCTTGTCACTCAGCCTCTGCGTCTGAAATCATCGGCACAAGGGACAGAAGTTGCCGCCCAGCTGGTGGCAGCGACAGCTGTGCCCTTGGAGGCAGGGCAGGTGGTGGATACCACCGGCGCTGGTGATGCCTTTATTGGTGCTGTTCTTTATGGTGAGTTGGGTTGTTTGATGTATGATGGAGTACAACCATCGGGAGCCACAATGGGTGATGGAGTGTTAGCAGGATGTTGTTTTATGGTATGTAGAATCGTGGCAACTGCTGCATTCCATACCTCAGTCATCCATGCGTGATTGTATGAGTAGGTGTAAAATGTTTGCCGAGTATCGATGTATTTTGATGTATGGTTGTTGTTTTGAGCTATGTGCATGGCATGGCATGTCCTTTGTTAACAGAGGTATGTCTGTGCTGTGGATGAAATGCATCATTCACTCCATGATGCTTTTGCGTACAAGAGTCATCCATTGAAAAAATAGTATGCTACGTTTCTCCTGGCCCACACCACCCTACATGCAGCCATTTCTGCTGGTTTCACAGTTGATCGCATGCTCATACTCGGAGCTACTATTGTACGTATGTGTGAACTTTTCGACAGACTTCCTTTCGTCCCATATTCTGTTTTATGCATCCTTTTCCGAAAGTCCTTACTCGCCAGTCAGACATTTAACTACCATACTGTATGTTCTACCAGCATTATGTTATTCCTGCCTTGCATGTTTTTCACGTATCTCTATGGATGTAATCGTAACCCCCAGGCTGCAGCGAAGTGCCAAGCTCTTGGAGCGCGTCAAGGCCTGCCCCGCCGTGACGACCCTCGCCTCGCGCACCTTCTTGAGCCTGAGCGTGCTGTTGCTTCTGGTTTGTAATTATATTGAACAGAAATGTGCACCTTTATTTGTTTAATGGGTCTTGTACATTCTAACTCTGTTGTGGGCTTGTCCAATGACGGGGCTCGGACACCAATGCACCTCGTTGGTGGTCTTCCACGACGGAGTCGCCTTCTCTGCCCCCCGCATTACCGTTGGGAAGAAGTAGCGCTTCGATTTATGGCCCTCGGGATTTTTAGCCGGGGGACTACCACGCCAAAATGTTCCTGAAGCGATAACAGATGCTAAGGCTGTTGCTCCTGCTGGCGCTGCTGTGAGGCCGAATTGGAAAACAAATGTTGCTGATTGAAAGCCATTGAATAAATGAAGACTTTCAGTGCATAGCAACACTTGGTTGCGACCATCGAGTTGCGGGGTTGGCTTGCAATAGCCACGGTGTAATCGTGTGAAGGTTTCCGCTCTTATGTCGCTGAGATTCCTTTGGAGTGTTTAGGCGGCGGTAGAGAGGACCCTGAAAATGGCGTCTGTGAAATAGACGGAGCCCCGAGCTTTCTGTGCTGCTGGTGCTCGCCCTGGGATAAGTTACTTTCTGTAACTTTTTCTGGATATGGCCGCCATATAGTTTGCAAGATTACTCTTTTATCCATCCTCGATACAGAACGGTATGGCACGCGTGTCTCCCCTTACCGTCACAGAAAATAGTACCACCATCGCTTTCTTGATTCTAGTCGCGACTGGCTGCTGGTCATCAATAGCTGCAGAGAACCTGACGGTCGGTTATCCGCAGCTAAGGGTGAAGCAGCTGCCCGATACGTGGTCAGAACCCGAGGAAATTCTAACTTCTCTTTCAGAAAGAGGGAGATTAGCGATCATCGAAAGGGAATGGAGCGATACAGTTGCAGCATTGCAGGAAATTGGGGACGAGCGCTCCGTGCTAGTTGGTCGGAGCCTGCTGAACCATGTGAATGTATCTAGAGACCACTCAAGAAATCCTAGAAAATTAGCTCAGTCGACCGCTGCGGAGAGCAGCAGGAAGCGGGATAGCAGAGTATACACTCGACGGTCTGAGGCATCAAATGGAGCACAGGGTGGGAGAATGGGCAAGCAAACCGAAAAAGGGAAGACGTTCCACGCAGAAAAGGCTATTAGGAAGCGGAGCAGTAATGTAAGGACTAAGGGACGCGCTTCGGCAATGGTTGCTACTCCATCGTCGTCCACGCCATCATCCCCCACTTCCGGTAACAAATCGCGATCTTCGCCATCAGCATCATCGCCATCACCCGCCAAAAAATCACCTCCTCCAACCAAAGCCGTGGCATCCTTGTTCCCTCCCTCCTCGCCCTCGTCCTCCAATTCGTCCCGGAAACCACCTTCACAATCACAATCACCAACACCGTCAGCACCATCATCGCCATCATTGCCCCCACGAGTAGCACCAGCGGCATGGGGTGCGTCGAGGATGCAGCTGGTGACGGTGCCATCTGCCAGAGCCGTGTGCCTCGACGGCAGGTGCGCAGCCCAGCACAAATTGCTCCCGCTCGTGCCGCTATACTTCAAGCTTTCGCTAAGACGGTTCTGAGCGACATTGGAGACACTCGCAGCACGACACGAGCGATCATTCCCCATCGTGTTTCAACTTCGTCAATGTCGCCGCGTCATTCTCAGCGAATTCTGGGTTTTCATTTGCAGTACCTGACCCCTCACCTCCTATCACCTTTCTTTCCTCTCCCTCTCACCCTCCAAACCTCCAACCCCCAACTCCTCTAACTTCCATCACTGTGTCCCTCTTATGCTCCATCTTCCATCCTCGTCGCTGCAGCCCCGCTGGTTATTACTTTCGCAAGGGGACGGGCACTGGCGCCAACAAGTGGTTAATATACTTCCACGTAAGGCATGCTCTGCTATGTCGCTCATTCATGCGCATGTCGCCCTGCTCTCCGCGCCTTGTTCTCAATTTCCTGCTACAAACTCTGACTGGCCTCAACCGAGGTGACTCCCTGTACCCAGTCTCCCTCGCCCTTTCAACCCCCCACTCACCCAAACTTCCACCCTCCTTTGCGCTGCTCTTTCACTTGCTCCTTTCCATGCGTTGCTCCCAGGGCGGCGGTTGGTGCACGACTGCAGCGGACTGCCACCAGCGTGCCAAGACCTTCCGTGGCTCCTCGCGCTTCTGGCCGAAACCCACGGATGGCAACTTCACGAAACTGGTAGGGTGATTCTGTGCGGCTTGTGGGGAATCTGATAACGAGGATGGGGTGTGCAGGGTCAATTATCCAATGGTGGTTAATGACATTGCTGGAAAGGGGAGACCAATCGTTCCATCGTCCACATTGCTGGTATATTCCTTGCGTTGGGAGAGGCCTGTCAGAAGGTGTGGTTGATGCGTTGACTTGTGGAGGCAAGTGCAGTGTTGGTGTGGCGCACGGGGCAGACGGTTTGGTTATGGTGTGGAGAGGTACTGAGATGTGCAGAGAGGCGCAGGTTGGTGCGAGAGGTGCAGAGCGTCACAGAAATAGCCACTTGCAGGCAGAACGTAGGTCTGCCTTTTGCACGGGGTGGAGAGGGAGGGATGGAGAAGGCAGGTAAATCGACCGTTCCTTTGCAGTGCTCCCTGCCTCCTCCCCGTATTCCCTCTCCTCCTCCCCTACCCTATCTTCTCCCCCTCTTCCTCTGATTAGCGAGTACCTCACTCATTTCATGGGCATTCCAAGTGCATAAACTGCCTCCTTCCCCACACTCCCCCTCCTGATCCCCCATAACCCTTTTACTTCCCGCATCTCTCCCCCAGATGAACGAGTACCGCACTCAGTTCACTGGCATTTTGAGCGCAGACACCATAACCAACCCCGTTTTTGGCAACTGGAACCTGGCCGTGCTTATGTACTGTGACGGAGGGGCGTATATGGGGTACAAGGGCCGCGTGGCAGTGGGCTCGTCGCGTGTGTTCTACTCTGGTCGGCGAGTCGTCATGCTGCTGCTGGAAGGTGCGTTGGGGCTGAAGGCCGTTAGCACATAAACCACTGGAGGGTCTTGCTGTGAGAGCAGCAGCTCAACACGGGCAGTAGCTTTGCAAGTAGGAGCCTATGCCAGGCGTCGAAGCAGATCAAGCACAGCATATGCATGGGTGGTTGGTGGGACGAAGAGGTGAGATCTAATTCTAACAGCTTTTTGTGAGGCTCAGATGAAAATCTCATCCACTTTTAGTTTTTACATGACATGCCATGCTCTCCGTTGAATCCTCCTTGCAGATATGCTCAAGATTCGTGGGTTGTCAACAGCATCAGCTGTGCTTATAACGGGTTGCTCAGCAGGGGGGCAGGGGGTAGCGGTGAGTTGTGACTGGATGGCTTCTCGCCTTCCCTCAACCACCACTGTCAAGTGCGCCATTGACGCTGGATACTTCCTAGGTGAGACATTCCAAAAGTTTGTGAAAGTACTGGATAACTGGTTGAGATTTGAACATCTTCTGAGAAACAAGTTATTGTCGTACCATTCTATTTGTTGAACCATGCTGCTGTGTGCCTTTCCCCTTTCGTTCCCTCTGCTAAAATCGACCATCCTCCATTCACTTTCCCGTGCTCCCATCTCTCCCACCTCCCCCATTCCAAATCTTAACGGATTGCTCTACCTCCATCCCTCCTTTTTCCCGGTACCTTCCCTTCCAGATGAGCCGGACCTGGTGGGGCACTTCTCGTTTCGTGGCATGATGCAGCGCATGATGGTCAGTCAGTGGAGCGATGCGTCCTTCGACCCGCAATGTGTGAAAGGTGAGACTGTGACTGAACCTGCTTGAGAGGTATGATTCTAGGACCCGGTATGATTCAATGCGTAAATGTATCCACATGCCATTCCCTGTCGCCCCCCCCTCTTCTCCACCTTTCAGCACAACTCCCCTTCCCAATGGCCCACCTTTTTCCATCCTCACGCCCCTCCTTCCCCCTGACTTGTTCCCCTTGACCAGGCTATCCCCGCACTGAGAAGTGGCGCTGCATATTCCCAGCCAACGCCCTCCAGCACACCCAAACGCCAGTTCTCGTCCTCAACTCAGCGTTTGACCTTGCAGCGCTGGCCATCGGGCTGACCAGAGGCAACGTTGAGGCCATGACCGGCTCGTATGAGAGCGTTGTTCCGTGTTACCATTCTGACCGCTTTCTCTCCTGCCCCAGGAGAATTCGCAAGTATGTGGGACACCATGCTATAGTGCTCAGGAACTCGTTACAAGCATTGGTGCAGAATTGGCGAAAAGCAGGGGTGCAGTCAACAGCGGTAGTTCCTAACAAGACAAGCCATTGTACCATGGCGTATGACAATTGGTCTGTGCCTGATGGTAGTGGTGTCAGGCTGAGGGACGTGGTAGCTGCTTGGTTCTTCAATAAGCAACTGTAAGAGTGAGTAGCGAAGTGCCAGTAATTCTTTTGTTTAGCACATGCTCTATTGTTAGGGCATCTATGCTTTCCCTATCCCGCAAAGCAGCTCACATTGAGATATACAGTATATCAGTTTCCGGAACAACGCAGAGTCAATAGTCATCAAAGCTTTATTCAGAAACGTCTTATTGGAAGTGGCCAAAACTAGCGTGCCCAATAGCAGGGTCGTCAGAACGTATCATTCATCACATGCCAACCCTGGGATACCCTTTCGCCAGCCAATGGTATTTACAATGAATACTTGGCAGAAAATGAGTCAACCCCTAAAAGATCAGCAGGCGTGGCGACGGCTGTAAAGGCCGCAAATTCGCAAACCCTTAGAGACGGACGACTCTGCTAAGCAGCCATCATCAACGGTCGCGTTTCCTCCACCTCCGGTTCCCGAAGCGGAGCGGTTGCAGCGGCGGGAACAGAAGCATGGTGACCCTTATACGACACCCTGGCGAAGGCCGATTCGTACGACGCGAGCACGGTGAACGACAGCGTGAACGCGACAGCAACCCCGAGGACGAAAACTACGCCGCGAATCGTGTCCCACAGGGACTCTGGCGCAGGGGCCTTGGTCTCGGCCTGCTTCGACTCTGTCGCCATTGCGGGGGACGAATCTGGCGGAAGAAGAGGTCGGAAGGAACTGACGACACGAATGGCCTGATAGACGCTGAATAAACGGCTAATGAAAGCTGAAAGTACGATCGAACGCCCTGTCAACTCCTGTTATCGTGATGAGTTCCCTAGAACTTATCTTGCCCTACCAAGCCACACAGCCCCTCGAGCAGGCTCCCGTCTTGTGCCTAACCTGTACTCTCGGACTTTTCGGTTCAACTGAACCTTCACCGAGGGTAGTTCCCCGTTCTTGGCACATGAAGGTTTTTGCCCGAACAATTTCGGAAGAAACGTACTGCACACTCACCGCTAAAAACGGCGTCACTCCGACAAATTCTCGGCTAGAAATTCCAATTTATTCGTGCGTCTGCCAGCCAGCGCACTTTATTCAACTGTCATCCCGAACGTACCGTTTCACCTGCCGAGAAGTTCGGGAGTACGTCTCTTGAGAAATGTGGCGCGCCGAAGAAAGGAGGATGTGGGAGGGGAGTACAGTTGGACCCTTGAGATTCGCGTGCATTCTCGCAGGAGTCTTCATGCGTGGTCTCCAAGCACGCTGACGTGGGATGAGGTGTGGCCTCTCTGTGGATGACCTCGATAGACATTGCTCTGTAGAATCACATTCGAGCAAGTTATAGTTGGATGCGCTGAGGACAAGTTTATGCGACGTGAATACAGTTGGAGAAGGTGTAGCCAAACTCATCAAACTTGTTGATATGTGGGAGAATCACGAACTGGCCGCGACATAGGGACAGCGCGCCGTTACGAGGACCACTTTTCGAGACGCAAATGGGGGGAAGTGACCGCGAGTTACGGCGAGCATTGTGGAAGTGCTGAGAAGGGTGCTTGGTGCTTGCTCAATCGGTTGGTCCTTGTAACGAGGTGCAACAAACCGAAGTTGGTGGGATACGAACGGACCAGTGGGAGTGTCGTGTACCCCAAGTCTTCGCTAAAGGACAACCATTTGCGAACTAACGAATCCCATGGATACCGTCGCACAGAACATGCGGTCCGCTGCAGCCAGGTCAGTATGCTTTCACATTTCGGTAGAGCAGTGCATGCCCCAATCGCATGGGCATTTCTAAGTGGCCGTTTCACTTTCGTCATCGTCGTAATCGTCGTCATTTTCGACGTTGAATCACATATATTCGTCACAGCCACCTATTACGCTCTGTTATTCGTCGCTTGCGGGGCTGCGACGCTGTACGACGCACATAGTTTTTTCGTTGGGAACTTCACGCATATGTGAGCAGAAGATTTTAGGCAGTGGATTGCCACACGGTAAAAAGCAGGTTTCCGATGGCACCGCTTCGAACCGCATACTACCTTCTGGAAACGAAGATGCTGAAGACCCACCTGCCCGAGCATCATAGCACATGCACCACCCCTCTCCCTCCCAGCACTCCTACCCTTGAACTCCCTGGTGCTTATGGCTACTATTTGCGAGATGCCACCCAGCCAGCGTCCCTTAGTCTCCCTCGTCGGAGTCCTTCCACGCAAAACGACGACGACAGTATGACAATTGTGGTGGCACCCTAGTTACACTCTCTCCATACTCACACGGCTTGGCCTTGACTCATTGCAGCTTGCTGCGCGGACGGCCACATTACGTCTGACACCACGGCCTGCAAGTTCTTCGTGGATAGGAAATGCAGATGTCATAGGGCTCTCGGCCTAGCCCGCAAGGCTTTTCGCCGTTTGTAGTATGACCCGTCCACCCTGCGCGTCCACGCCAGCTGCCATCCGCCATGGATCAGGTCTTTCCAGAGTATCCGCTAGCATTGTTTCGCAGGTCGTGAGCTCCTTACTCCGTCGCCATGGCTTGTCGAAATCGTCGTCCAGACACAGCTGCACATCGGTGCTATGAAGTAGGATAGCCGACAGTAGCGTCGACCGTTGGCAGTTCGGTAGGGTCTTGGCTCAGACTCAGTTGATAGAAGTAACAGAACCCGTCAATCGCACTCTTTGTGTTCCTACTATCGTCTTTTGAGGAGTCTCGAAGTTCGCATAGTGTGGAGAAGTCATCTCGAAGCGCGAGTGCGTGCTGTCGTTGGCCATGGCGGCGGCTGCCGTGCTGCCACCTGGCAGAGCGGCGCGGGCCGTGGTTTCGGCGATGGAGACGTATCACGACGCGCGCATCCAGTTTGTCGGAAAAGTCAGCGATCTCGCCTTCTCTCCGCAGGTAACTTTTTAATTCTCTCTCTCCCTCTCTCAGGCCCTTGAGACGTTGTAGGAAGTAGCTTTGCGGAAAGGCGAGCAGCGAACGGGTTCCGCTTGTCGCACGAGCAGCAGTAGGTTCCGTCAGGTCTGGTTCGCACCACGAGCAGCGGACGGTGCGTTTTCGTCGGGACGGTGACGTCTGAAGCGGCAGCAGGGGTGCTAGTCGGTTGGGTGGCGTGTCGTGTAGGCCCCGGGTGCAGGGTCCCTAGAGAATGAAGCTGGCGCGGCGAACGGACGCATGGGAGGGCGGAGGGGTTTCGAGGCTTTGCGGTGCAATAGGGAGGCGAGGGAAAAGGGAGGAAAAGGGATGGATGGCGAGGGGAGGCGAGGGGAGGCGAGGGGAGGCGAGGGGAGGCGAGGGGAGGCGAGGGGAGGCGAGGGGAGGCGAGGGAAAGGGGAGGGACGCGGAGGGAAGGGGAAGAAAATAGCAACCGCGGCGGAGGGGAAGGCTCGAAGGGACGCGGAAGCCGAGGGAAGCGCTGGTAGATCGTTTGGACGGGTATGGCAACGCGGCTAGAGGGTTGGGGGTGCAGGACGGTGCGAGCAGATAAGCCTCGGCCATGCGTCGCTGCTAGGCTCGCAGTAGGGTGGCGACGATACGAGCAGCGTTCGTTCCAGCAGCGGTGTTGCCGTAGCTGTCAGGGCGAGTGCGCAACCCCTTCGCCCGCGCCACCTCGGGGCGGGGGGGTGAAAAGGACGTTTCTCTCCTCGGACCCACCCCTTTTCTCCCCTTCCTTGCCCTCGTCTCAATCACCCGCTCCTCCTTTCCTGCTCTGCTCCCCTGCGCTTCCCCTCTCACCTCACCCAACATCCCCCCGCCCTTTCCTCCCCCCACCGCCCCACCACACGCGCCGCAGAACGCGGAAGCGTTCTTTTCGCTCGGCGCCATGCAGCTGCTGCTGCCGCTCATGCATGACGTCATGTCGTCCGTGCGATCCGCCGCGATTCTCTCGCTGGGGCGCCTCGCCAACGTGTCGGACACGTGGGCCAATGACATCGTCGATCGCAACATACTCCCCGACCTCTGCAAGGCGCTCGCGTGAGTCCTCAGGCGTCTGGGAAGCTTGGCGTGAGCGCAAAGCACCATTTTCTCGTGTCTTCCCCCCTCTTCCTCCTCTGTCTCTCTGTTTCTCACCACCCTCGCTTCCCCGTCTCCCCCCTCACCCCCGTCTCCCCCCTCACCCCCGTCTCCCCCCTCACCCCCGTCTTCCACCTCGCCCCGCTGCCCCTCGTTTACCCCCTTCCCCTCGTCAGCGGCAACAACCGTCATCACAAGCGCGCCGCTGCATTCGCCGTCAAGGCCGTGGCTCGCCACGCTGGCGCTGAGCTGGCAGCAGTCGGCAGCAGCGGCCCGGGCAGCGTGTTGCCGGTTCTCGCGGAGTGCCTCACAGACGCGATGCCGGCCGTGCGCGAAACGGCCGCGTGCGCATTGGGCCACGTGGCAAAGCAGAGCCGCGAAGCCGCGACGCGCGTGATAGAGACCGGCGCGGTGCCGACTTTGATAGGCTCGCTACACGACGAGGAAGTAGCGCGAATGGCGCTGTCGGTTTTAGGGGACATCGCGCGGCACTCCGCGGAACTCGCGACTATTGTGGCGGACGGGGGAAGAGGGGAGGAGGCGGACGGGGGTGCGGGCGCAGCGGAAGGCGGAGCGATTGGGAGAATCGTGGCGCTGTTGGGATCGAAAGACGTGAAGATGCGCCGCCAGGTGAGGAGCGCGGGGCGTTGTGGGAGGAAGGGGGGCGGATGGTGGGCTAGGGGAAATCGGGGAGAAGTTGGGGGAGAGAGGTGCGAGGCGGAGGGAAAGGAGGGTGAAGAGAAGGCGTTAAAAGTGTGCTTGGACGAGTTCATCTGCTCATACCTACAGGAAGCGCGCTTGCATGCATCATCCAACCCTACTCCCCCCTGCGCTCCTCCTTCTCTCCCTCACCCCTGCGTGCCCCATCCGTTCCCTCCTCCCTTCCTCTCCCTCTTCTCATCGGCTCCCTCTCTCCCCGTGCGCTCTCTCTCCGCGCAGGTGTGCGTGTGTCTGTCGCAAATCGTGAAGCACTCCGAAGCACTCGCCATCGTAAGCCCTCCCAGCTCCCTCCCCCCTCCCCTTTCTCCCCCTCCCTACTTCTCCCCTCCTTTAACTGCCTCGCCACCCATCGTAAGCCCTCCCTCCCCATCCCCCTTCCCCCTCTCCCTACTTCTCCCCTTCAACTGCCACGCCATCCTTCTCTCTCTTCTGGAGCATCACAACACGCACGCCATGCTTTTCCGCCCTTGCTTTGCCTGTACAACGCCCCATTCTCGCGCCCTTGGCGTCCCCAACACTTCCGCTTCTTCTCACACTCTCTCTTATCCCCGTCTCCCCCCTCGCCCTCCATTCCTTCCTCCCCAATCCCCCTCCCCCCCGCCTCCCTTACCCCTCCCCTTCCCCCTCCCCCTCCCCCCCCCTCCCCCAGCGCGTGGCGTGCGCGGAGGGCATATCGCGCCTCTTCCTCTGCTTGCACGACTCCGACCAGGCGCTCCGCCGCAACGCCGCCTTCGCCATGCGCGAGATCGCGCGCAAGTCGCCCGCCGCCGCGGATCGCCTCATACACCTGGGCGCAATCGGCCCCGTTATAGATGCCGTTCTTACAGAGGAGGGCGGCGCGGGTTCCGCGCGCCTGGCGGTCGTGCAGGCGCTGGGGCATCTCGCGGGCGCGGGGGGGAGGGCGCGCTGGCGATAGTGGCGTCTGAGGGGGTCGCGCCGCTTAAGGAGCTGCTGATTCAGGCTGACGTGGAGGAGAGCGTGCGCGGCGCGTGCGCGTGGGCGCTGAGTCAGATCGGGCGGCATAGCTCGGCGCATGTGAAGGCCGTGGCGGATTCTGGAGCGTTGATTGACATGGTTACTGTGGCGACCGTTGATCTTGCTCATGCTGCTCCTCCCTCTGCTTCTGGTACTAGCGGTGCTGCTGCTGGCGGTGCTGCTTCGCTGGCAGCAGTAGAGGCGCGCACGAGAATAGTGAGGGCTTTAAAAGACCTAGTTAGTGGGGTGGGCGAGCTCGAGTCGCTAGACTCGCTGCTGCAGTGGACTACTCTTCCCGAAGGGGTGCTGGAAGCGGTGCTTCTGCGAATCTTCCACGTCCTCAACAGCAGCAGCAACGCCTGCCGGTCCACGTTCGTCCAATCGCGAGGCTTCGCGAAGCTGCAGCGACTGCACGAGGAGGCAGAGGCGAGAAGAGCGGCAGCGGCGGAGGGTGGAGAGGGAGGAGCGGCTTGTGTGCATAACGGGGTGGACTATAACGCGGTTTATGACCACATAGCCATGATCAACACGTTCTTCCCGTTTGAGGTCTCTGTAACGTACCCGCCGGAGTACCAGCAGCGGCTACTGGAGAAGCTTACAGCGAGTATGAACGCTGATTCGTCCGGGTCTGGATCCCCGGGCAAGAAGGGCAAGGGGAAGCTTCCGAGGCTCAAGATAGGCAAGGGGGGGCACCTGGTGGGGAAGGGCGGGTGGGAGGAGGCGGAGTTGTCCCCGGGGGAGAGCGAGGAGGAGGTGGGGAAGCGCCTGGGCATGGCGGACCTGGTCGGGGGAAGGAAACCGCACGGGTTGGCGGCGGCAGCGGGGGAGGCGGGGGAGGCGGAGAGGAGTGGGGAAGGGGAGGGAGGGGAGGCGGTGGTGGTGGAAGAGAGGAGCGGGGAGAGTGGGGCTGTTTTGGCGGGTGAAGGGGGTGGGGTTGGAGGAGGAGAGAGTGCGGATTCGGGGGAAAGGAGAGCAGAGACATCATTAGAAGCTGACTCCACTGAGGCATCTGTACCACCCGCTGCGCCAGCAACAGCATCAGAGACACCAGCACCAGCAGCAGCAGCAGCAGCGCCGCCAGCACCTCCTGATCCGCCAGCTGCCCCCCCGCCTCCTCCTCCTGCTGCTCCCCCGCCTGCCCCACCTGCTCCCCCTCCGTCTGCACCTCCGCCCCCGCCTCCCCCTCCACCTCCTGCGCCAGACGCTTCAACGCCTGCGCCTCCTCCCCCGCCGCCCCCTCCTGCTCCCGCTGCTCCTGATCCTCCTCCTCCTCCTCCTGCTCCCCCTGTCCCTCCTGCCCCTCCACCCCCTGCTCAATCCGCCCCTCCCCCACCGCCCCCGCCCCCACCTCCCCCTCCACCACCACCGCCACCTGCCTTTGACCCTCCCCCTCCCCCTCCCCCTCCCCCTCCGCCCGCCCCTGAGCCTGCAGCACGGGTGGGGAATATCCCACCGCCACCCCCTCCACCTCCTCCCCCTCCCCTTCCGGGCAGCTTCTATTAGAGCAGCAGGCTGACGGGCTGTGAGACGCAGCAGTGGCAGTGGCACAGACAGGGGCAGAGGCAATGGCAGGCCACAGAGATAAGAGTGGCAGAGGGAGAGGAGGCACTGGCAGGGGCAGTCGCAATGAAGTACCTGGGGCAGGGAGTGGGAATAAGTGTGACTGTAAAGAATGTGAGGGGTATCCACTATGCGGATGGGTGTGCTGCAGGCAGCAGCAGGCTGGCTACGAGACAACTGGGATGTGCATGTCCCACCCACAGCAGCCCATACTGCAGCAGCAGACACACTGTGAAGCGCCTGGGAGCGGCCAGTCATTTTTATTTTCCTTTTCATCGACTCAAGAAGCACCAGGCAGAGCTGCCACTCTGCTGCTGCAGTGGCGCTGGGAGACAACTAGGACTGACTGGTGTGCAGCTCGTTGGGTTGGCCCTGGGCTGCAGCGAGTGTGTGAGAGCTCGTGGCTGTGGCTCTAGTGTTCACATCACATCCCCGTGAAAGCTCGTACTGGTGCGATGCTGAAAGGGTGGTGGTGGTGGTGTGGTGAACGGTGGTGAACGGTTGTGTTGTCACCAAGAGGAAGGGCGAGAGAGGAAGCAGTCTCTTGCTGCGTGGAGGAACTGACAGGCAGTGGGGGAGTGAAGGCGAGAGTCCTACGGTACCGTGAGTGGATTGTAGGGGCAGCGTCATGTGCTTGTGATCATCATGTTCCTGACGCGTGTTGCAGCGCTTCTACTCCACAAGTGTAGACTGTAGACAAGTAGCTGGTTTTAGGGTGTAGGTGCTATATTTGTTTCGTTTATGTTGTAGGGTTGGTGCTTCCTTGGGCAGTAGTAGCCTGGAGGAAGGTATGGCTTATTTCATGTGTTGCTTTTAGGTTACGTACGTAGGCTATTATTGTAATATTGATTGTATTATTGTGCCTTTATTTTTGTATGTGACCTTTTGTGTTGCAGTAAGTGACCTTCTGTAAGGAAAAAAACGTCCGTAGACAATGAGCTGATGCCCATCATAAGCAGTGTCTTATCCGCATGTCTATTGCATAGATGCACAGCACGGCATGGCATGGCAAGGGCAGGGGCACCATTAGTTTGCCAACAGCCAGCAAGAGCAGCAGCACCGCCAACCCTTCAATAGTATTGCTTGATGGTTTGTTCTGAGAAGGTTCCGAAGTCCATGCCCGGTTGCCATGGCACCAACTCCTGCGAGGATTGTAGCAAAGGGGGAGGGGAGGAGGGGGGGGAGGGGGGGGTGTGGATGTGATGCAATGGAGCTGTATGCAAGGAAGAGAAGGGAGAGGTGTGAAGGTTGAGAGAGGTGTGAGAGTCAGAGGTGTGATAGTGAGACGCGTGCTAGTGAGAGGCGTGATAGTGAGAGGAGGTGCGTGAGCGAGAGGTGTGAGAGAGAGGTGCGAGCGGCGGTGTGATGTGGCACAGGATTGAACTGGAGAGTGTTGAAGCCTGTCTGACGCAGATATTCAACAAGAGAAGAGAGCGTGTGAGCCGACTCGTGGTGGGAGGGACCCACCTCTGGTGTGAGAGAGCTGCAGCGCGGCACGTCAAGTGGCTCGTTCCTGGGTGGGGAGAAGTGGGGAGAACATGGGGGAGTGAGAGTGGGAGAGACGGATTGAGAGGACCACGAGCATCTTAGGAGTGAAGTACCAGAAGTGCCGTTGCCGCACCGCCACCACCCCTGCCATTGACTCAATCTGCCGTGTGCAGTGTGTGGGCGAGCAGGAGTGGGAGGGATGGAATGAGCAGGAGTGCATGGGGGGGATCTAGGTGGAAGATATGAAAAGGAGCACATGGCATGGTTGCGCTGATGGTAGTGCCTGAGCAATGTTGAGAGCGAAGTCAGCATGTGAAGGGGGTTGGTGGGTGGGTGGGTGGGGACACGGAGACCACGAACCTGCAGCACAGTGCATGCATGCAACACGTACCATGAAGGCTGATGGACGGGTGCGGGTACCACAACGATTGCGATTGGTTGGCAGAGCAATGGCGCCATGGATGTGGAGATGTAACACAGGAGAAGGGATGAGTAAGGGATGAGAAGGATTGGGCAACAGAGTTTTAGCAGCCTGGCCAGGCGGTTGTTGATTCCCCCAGGCACTATTTGATCCCGTTCCACCACCTAGATGCGAAGGGGTGAGGAGCGGTGAGGAAGGGTGAGTAGGAGTGAGGAGTGAGCAGCGTGGCGAGGCGGTTGTTGATTCCCCCTATCACTATGTGGTCCCGCTCCATCACCTGGTGTGTGCACACGGATGTGCAGGGGCGAGCAGGGGTGAGCAGGGGTGAGCAGGGGTGAGAAGGGGTGGGCAGGGTGAGCAGGGGTAAGCAGGGAAAAGCAGGGTGAGCAGGGGCGAGCAGGGGTGAGCAGGGGTGAGCAGGGGTGTGCAGGGTGAGCAGGGGTGAGCAGGGATGAGCGGGTGAGCAAGGGTGAGCAGGTTGAGCAGCTATGATGAGAAAGACGCTAGCGTCTGTTGAGCGTGCGAGCAACGCAGCTGAGCGTGCGAGCAACGCAGCGGACCGTGCGAGCAACGCAGCGAAGCGTGCGAGCAACGCAGCTGAGGGTGCGAGCAACGCAGCCGAGAGTGCGAGCAACGCAGCCGAGCGTGCGAGCCAACGCAGCCGGGCGTGCAAGCAACGCAGCCGGGCGTGCGAGCAACGCAGCCGGGCGTGCGAGCAACGCAGCGGGGCGTGCGAGCAACGCAGCGGAGCGTGCGAGCAACGCAGCCGAGCGCACCAGCAACGCAGCGGAGCGCGCCAGCAACACAGCGGAGCGTGCGAGCAACGCAGCGGAGCGTGCGAGAAACGCAGCGGAGCGTGCGAGAACGCAGCGGAGCGTGCGAGCAACGCAGCGGAGCGTGCGAGCAACGCAGCGCAGCGTGCGAGCAACGCAGCCGGGCGTGCGAGCAACGCAGCCGGGCATGCGAGCAATGCAGCCGGGCGTGCGAGCAACGCAGCCGGGCGTGCGAGCAACGCAGCCGAGCGTGCAAGCAACGCAGCCGAGAGTGCGAGCAACGCAGCCGAGCGTGCGAGCCACGCAGCCGGGGGTGCAAGCGACGCAGCCGAGCGTGCGAGCGAAGCAGCTGAGCGTGCGAGCGACGCAGCTGAGCGTGCGAGCAACGCAGCCGAGCGTGCGAGCCACGCAGCCGGGGGTGCGAGCGACGCAGCCGAGCGTGCGAGCGACGCAGCTGAGCGTGCGAGCGACGCAGCTGAGCGTGCGAGCAACGCAGCTGGGCGTGCGAGCAACGCAGCTGAGGGTGCGAGCAACGCAGCTGAGCGTGCGAGCAACGCAGCTGAGCGTGAGAGCAACGCAGATGAATGTGTTAGCAACGCAGCTGAGAGTGCTAGCAACGCAGCTGGGGGTGCTAGCAACGCAGCTGAGCGAGCTTTGAGATGGTGAGAGAGATGGCAGGAGCAGCAACATCTGGAACAAGCACTTGGTGATTGCTTGCATGACCTACTTGAATATCGCTAAGAGCATCTCCCTATGAGCTTAGGCATTGCAAATGCATGATAAGTGCGGACACACCTGAACAGTGCGGACACACATGAACAGTGCGGACACACATGAACAGTACGGACCTGCATGAACACTGCTAATGTGGCGCGAGAAACGCCTACCGATGCCGGCCCTTGGGGTGCCTGCGTGCATGCATGGCATGCCACGGGCAGGTGGGTATGGGAAGGGGCGGCTGAGTATGGTAAGGCAGGTGGGGGTTCATAGCAGTATGAACATGGACTGGAGTGACAAGGGATGAGATGGCTCGGATGCGGAGAAATGAGAGAGGTGATGGAATGGAGGCAATAGGATGTGAATAGAGGATCAAGAAGAAGCGATTGGAACAAGAATCAATACGGGTGTGAGTAGAGGATGTGAGAGTGATGAGAGGGGCATAGTGGAAGGGTGAAGCGGCAGGCAGAGCACTGCAATGCGGTGGGGAGTGGCAACAATAGTAGAGGAACAGGCAGAGGCGGAGTAAGTCAGGGGTGGGAGCAATACGACCACAGGGAGAGGCAAAGGCACAGTAAGCGGGTGTGGCAGGAATAGGAGTAGAAGGAGAGGCAGAGGCAGTGTACGTGGGGCGTGGCAGGAATAGGAGTAGAGGAAAGAAGCAGAGGCAGTGTACCGCAACACAGTGTGGCGTGGCAGCTAGGAGGCCACCCGACTGGATGGACATGGCGTGCCCCACTTGAAACGCTATGCACCCCTCTGGTATGTGTGCCTGACGCACATGCATGCATGCATGCATGCATGGGGATGCATTGATTGGGAACGCATGGGGGGCATGCATGGGGAAGGGGAACATCATGGCACATCGAAATACAGCCAGCAAAATGTTCACATGGGATGGTGTATTTACTGCAGGAGGAAGGGCTTTAATGTCACAGGAACTACCGGAACTGCACGTGCTCATTGGGCCTGAACTTGGTGCCATTTGTTGCTTACCATGTGGTGCTGCTTCGTGTAACACACACACACACCTGCACGATTTGCCCGTCCCTGGTTCGGATGTAAAGGCCACATGCGGGGTCAAGGTCGCTGCCCTCCACTCGCTCCCCATCTCTCCAGAACTGCGCCCTCGTCAGGCCTGACATGAATACAAGCAGCAAGCAGCGAGGAAGAGACTGAGCGAGGGAGGGACGAATGAGAGTGCGAGGGACGGAGAGGTACTTGTGTGGGAGCAAGCAGGAGCGCAGCTTGGGATGAAACATGGAAAGAGAGCAAGCACATGCCTGTGAGGACGCAAGCACATGCCTGTGAGGGAGCCGTGGTCCAGGTGCCAGCCACACCAAGACGACACATCCGCATCCGCCCCTGTCTCATCCCTCTTAGTAAACGACTCATTCTTATCGCCTCCTTCACCCCCACACGCCACTGAATCCTCCTCCTCCGACGCCCTAATGCTCTCAGCAGGCGATTCTCCCTCTCCCTCTCGCTCTCGATCTCCCTGTGCTGCTGGCGGCGTGGGTGGGGGCTGCTGGGGCGGCAGGTAGAGCAGCAGGCGGGCCTTGTGGCAGGGGGACTGCTCCACCACTCGCAGCAGCTTGCCTGGGGGCACGTGGGGGTTCCTGCTGTGCACTGCCATGGGGTGGTGGCGCGGAGAGGGGTGGCAGGCTCAAAAGGGTCTCACTCTGATCATGCTCACATGCGACGTTTGCAAGGAAGGAAGGGAAGTCATCCACTCAAGATAGCTGCATTTCCAAGGAAGGCTCACCATAGGCATCACAGGGAAGGCTCACCATAGGCATCACAGGGAAGGCTCACCATAGGCATCACAGTGTTGCAGCAGGTGCTTGCCCACGTCCACTATCATCCGCCCCAGCGCCTTGAAGGCTGACAGGCGCACAGCAGAGCAGGGGGACGCGAGAGCGAGATTCAGATTACTGTTATGATGTGATGCGATGTGACTATACCGAGTCACAGTGACAAGGGCGGGAGAAGCTGACGTGGCTAGGCGCCAGCTCACCTGGTTCCAGCTGCGGGAGGTCTTGGGAGGGCCACACGTTGGGGCGACAGTAGGTGGGGAACCTGTGTGCAGGCATGTGCATGGGTGCATGTACATGCATATGTAGTGCATGTGCAGACGAATTCCCAAATGTACATGCAGGTGCACAAGCTATGAATGAAACCCACGGCAGCTCCCTCTGGGGGGTTGTGAGGGGAAGGCGCCTCTGCTCTGGGGGGTTGTGAGGGGAAGGCGCCTCTGCTCTGGGGGGTTGTGAGGGGAAGGCGCCTCTGCTCTGGGAGGTTGTGAGGGGAAGGCGCCTCTGCTCTGGGGGGTTGTGAGGGGAAGGCGCCTCTGCTCTGGGGGGGTGTGAGGGGAAGGCGCCTCTGCTCTGAGGGGTTGTGAGGGGAAGGCGCCTCTGCTCTGGGGGGTTGTGAGGGGAAGGCGCCTCTGCTCTGAGGGGTTGTGAGGGGAAGGCGCCTCTGCTCTGGGGGGTTTTGAGGGGAAGGCGCCTCTGCTCTGGGGGGGTGTGAGGGGAAGGCGCCTCTGCTCTGGGGGGGTGTGAGGGGAAGGCGCCTCTGCTCTGGGGGGTTGTGAGGGGAAGGCGCCTCTGCTCTGGGGGGGTGTGAGGGGAAGGCGCCTCTGCTCTGAGGGGTTGTGAGGGGAAGGCGCCTCTGCTCTGAGGGGTTGTGAGGGGAAGGCGCCTCTGCTCTGGGGGATTGTGAGGGGAAGGCGCCTCTGCTCTGGGGGGTTGTGAGGGGAAGGCGCCTCTGCTCTGGGGGGTTGTGAGGGGAAGGCGCCTCTGCTCTGGGGGGGTGTGAGTGGAAGGCGCCTCTGCTCTGGGGGGTTGTGAGGGGCACCCTCACAACAGGCTTGCTTCACCTCACCTGCGTATAAGCTCGGGATCGGTGGTGGGCGTGTCAGTGAGCGGGTTGGCATAGAAGGACGCCTTGAGCGCGTCCCTCCTGCCTGCCTCCACCGACTCTTTGCCCTCGCTCCACCCAAAGCTGTACCTGCCGTGCACCGTGCGCGTGTGCAGTCAAATCAGGCGCATTGAACATGTTGTGAGTTGACACAAACGCGCATGAAACACGAGGGCTTGAAGAGAAGGATAGGCTGAGGCGCTTACTTGCTGTCCGGGTCTTCAATGCGTCTCTTGGCCTCCTCTGGGAGCTCGCCAAGCCTTCACTCGTGCGCTCGCCCATGGTCAAGGACGCACCCACACAGTGATCAACAGTCACACACACGCATGGACTGAAGTGTGGTTTGGACGAGTTGGAAGAATGTGACTCTGCTGGGTATTATCGACGTACAGACCTTAATGCGAGGGGAAGAAGCCGTTGCCTTGCTTCAGGATAGCCTGGAACCTGAAAACAGACCACGCAACTCTTCAGCCGACCTATCGTCTTTTCTTTTTTATATAACGAAGAAACGCAGCACTCAAGGCAGTAGCTCGCAACGCATCTCTACTCGCAGCAGGTTCTCTTACATCGGAAACAGCAATGATCCCCAGACCTCCAGGCCCGAAAGCAGCTTCGATTTGAGCGGAGAGATCGTTGCCTTCCTGATTGCAATCCAACGGTTAGGCAGAAACAAAAGTTGTGTCACCACAAGTGAGGAGTGGTTCCAAACCGCGAGAAAAGGGTGCTTTCTTGGTGACGTTTTCCGAGCAATCTCTACAAGGGATCAGCGACGCGACGCGACTCCAATGTGTGCGTCAGGGAGATTCTACTGGCACCGACGATGTCGTGCTGGCCTCATCTGAACGCGTGCTAAATGTCAGGCTGACGTAACTAAGACGACACGACGCCGGCAAATGACAGACCTTGAGATCCGCGAAGCTCACTCGCACCACCTCCATTGCACGACCTCCTGCTCGCTTCGACCCGATTGCTAGTTTCACGAAAGGAACCAGCGCCGAGAGTAGCGGAAAGAGCGATCACTAAGATAGATACACGAAGTGGAAACAAGCGGGTGTGGAGGTCGAGCAGGAAGGCCACGCAGGCTCACGGATTAGAGGGGACAGGACAGGATACGATGTCGGGTCCAGACCGCTGAGTGTGGTCAGGCCATCCAGCAACATTTGAAGAGGAATTTCTTGAAAATGCTCGATGTATGCCCGACGGGAGTTGTTCGGCCAGCGTAAAGCATGAAGATTTAGCAGGCACAGCTACCTGCGTGTGAAGTTGGCGAATGACCCAGCGACCACCCACGAAAGCTTCTGCGAACAACCTTTCGGTATATGCGGTGAAGTTGCGACAATTCGCATCACTGTTCGTAGAAACGAAGTATGGCCGGAAAGCGAGTCACACAGTAGGAGTACAATCTGTAAATGGATGATGTGCATGCATGCATCTGGCGCACCCCATTTCCACTAATTATCAGAAGATAATCCCTCCTCGGCAATCCCAGTGCTGCTGATAGTCCCAGGGGTCGAGGAATCAGGACTCACATCAGGCTGTTTCTGAGAGTTCCTGGTTGCTCGCCAATGGCTCTCTCGCTGCAAGCCAGCTCCGCCGTTCCGCTGCGCGCAGCGTTCAGGCAAGAACACGCGCGCGATGCCACGTCAGCGAGCGTGGCTTTCGTCCCGCGAGTTGCAACGACCGACATTAGCCCTTCGTGCGTTCGTCGAGGAAAGGCGACCGCGCAGCGACGACAATGGCGGTCCCTGAAGGTGCGTGCGACGTCGGTAATGCATGAGTGCACATGATCGCGAATAAGCAGAGTGCGGGGAGGTTTCATTCAGCACAAGCAAAGTCTTAGTCTTCTTGCTTGCGCTCGTCTGGCTTACCTTCGCAGTCATTTCCTCAGTGCACCTCTTTCCATCGTGCCTCCTCGCCTCCCTTTCCTCGCTGCTACCTTCCTACCCGTGACTTTCGCCGCAGGTTGCTGCGTCATCCTCGACAACCACGGCAGAGCCCGCCGTGGAGGACTCGTCGGTGCTGCGTGTGATTATATCGGGGGCGCCAGCCTCCGGAAAGGGCACACAATGCGAGGAGATTGTCAAGAAGGTTCGTGCATTGGAAGGGACCAGAACGGATTCCACTGTAAGGGGTAGGAAGGAGCAGAGCAACCGAAACATTGGTGCCTTTAGCGTCACCACCTGCCTGTTCACTCGGTCCCGCCTCTCAACCCTAGTGGCTCAACGGGCGACCTGCTGGGGATTGAGTGCATTGCAGCTCGCCTGTCTCATGTCTCTCTGTGTCTGCCTGGCTGCCTTGCTGTCACCTCACCCCTTCTGTCTCTGCCAGTACGGCTTGACGCACATATCAACGGGCGACCTGCTGCGGGACGAGGTGGCGCGCGGCACAGAGAATGGCAGGCAGGCCAAGGCGTTCATGGACGCGGGGCAGCTCGTGCCGGACGAGCTCGTGATCAGCGTGAGTGGTGCCAGATGCTGTGTTGTGGTGCTTGCAAGGAGGTGTATGTGATGTGAGGCTTGCTGCAGGGGAAGGGCTGTGATGGGACGGGACGAACCTTGCATGTTGTATGGCACATGACGGTTCTGTTTGCCTCCCACACTTGCTATCTCCCCATCTCTCACCCCTCTCATCTCACGACCATCTAATTCTTTCCCCCTCTCCTGGCAGATGGTGAGGGAGCGTCTGTCACAGCCGGACGCGCAGAGCAAGGGGTGGCTGCTGGACGGCTTCCCACGCTCGCCCGCACAGGCACAGGCGCTCATGGACGCGGGGGTGGTGCCGGACGTCTTCCTGCTCCTCCAGGTACGTTGGGGATCTTATTTGTTTTGTAGACGGCTCAAAAGACCCCCGTTGATAGACAGAGGGGTTGGTGCCGGACATCTTCCTGCTGCTACAGGTGCCCGTGTGGCAGCATGACGTGAAGTTCAGTGTGCCCCACGTGTGTTGCTGGCCCCCTCCTGCTCGTCTCCCCTTTCCGCTCACTTTCTTCTTCTGGTCCGTTACAGGGTGGTGGGATGGTGATTGACCACATTCGTGTATTTGTAAGTGTTTTGCCTTCATGCCATTTCCTCCCTGCTGCAATGCCTGTGCAGTGCAGGTGCCGGGCAGCATTCGCTTGGACAGGTGGTGTTTGAATGATTGCCGTCACATATGCAAATCGAAGAGCCTTTCCTCCACCACCTCCTGCCACCACCACCTCCCGCCTCCATGTCTCTGCAGGTGCCGGACAGCATTCTAGTGGAGAGGGTGGTGGGGCGCAGGCTGGACCCGCACACCAACCGCATCTACCACCTCACCTTCTCGCCGCCTGAGAGTGAGGAGGTTCGAGCGCGGCTCATCCAACGATCCGACGACACCGAGGAGAAGGTACGGGGTAGCAGTGCCTGCTTGCACGGCACCTAGTCAACAACACTCACACCTTTCTCCTCCACTCCAATTGTTTTCACCCGCCCTCCTGCCTCTCACACTCGCTTTGTTGTGTTATGCCCTGTAACTCTCTTCTTACACCCACCATACCCCCCCTCTCAACCGCACAGGCGCTAGCGCGGGTGGAGGTATACAAGCAGCACGTGGTGCATGTGGTGAATGCGTACAGGGAGAAACTCGTGGAGGTACGCCTGTGTGTCTGTGTGTGTGTGCTGGAGGGAGGGAGAATGTATGGAGGAGGGTGGGGTGGCATGAGTGCGTGACACAGGCGCTGGCGCGGGTGGAGTTATACAAGCAGCACGTGGTGCACGTGGTGAATGCGTACAGGGAGAAACTCGTGGAGGTACATGTGCGTGTGAGCTGGAGGGAGGGAGAATGGATGGAGGAGGGTGGGCTGGCATGGGTGGGTGGGTGACAGGGCGAAATTGCGTGCGTCTTCTTTCCCTCCCCTTTTCCCCAAATCCTCTTCACCCTGCACTCTTCCCGCTACACCGTTCTCCCTACCCTCTTCACTCTACCCGCTTCCCTACCCTCTTCCTCCTGCCGTCGTTGCATGCAGGTGGACGGCCACCGAGGCAAGCACGAGGTGTTTGCTGACATCAGCAGCGCTCTGGACAAGGCCAGCGCAGACAAGGTAATGCCACGCCACGAGGTAGGAGGAGCTCTTCTTTGCCTGTCTGCATGGACAGCCCTTACGAATCACTTCCAATACATGTCTGTCATTCCTCCAGTCAGCAAGGAAGCCTTTTTCTTCCTGTTTTAACCCCTGCTGCCGCAACCTTCTCTGGCTGCTTTCTCACCTCTGCTCCGCCCTTGTCATGCCCCCCACCTCCACTCCTCCTGTGCGTCCCCCCCTCCCCCATGCCCCCGTACAGCAAGCAGCAGCACCAACGGCAGGGGAGGGCGAGTGGAGGGGCATGCCAACGCGGCTGAACGACATCCCTCACAGTCGGGAGATCCGGCAGTACTTCTATGATGACGCCTGCTCCGCTGCTGTCAACGCCGTGGCCGCTGGCAAGCAGAGAATCAAGGTGGGATGGGATGGGGGTTCAGTGCGTGGCATGGCATGGCTGGCCTGTATTGAGGCATGTTGCACTGCTTCTGGTGTAACATATCATTGCCATGTCATGAGTCTGTGCAGGATATATTGCTGGATGTTGCAGTGTTGCTGATGTGATATGATGCACCGTGTGCCAACAACCTTCCATTTCTCTGCGCTCCACCTCCTCGTTTCCCTTCATCCTGCATGTGCCATGGGCTTGTATGTGGTGTGTGGCTCCTCTTATGCCTGAACGGCCATGCCATGCTGTGGCATGTGGGTGTGTTGATGGGGTGCACTTGGGGGAGGGAAGCTGGGGCACTGCATGCCTGTATGTGCGCTGTCATGTGTGTGCCTGTGTGTGATGTGTGTGCCTGTGTGTGATGTGTGTGATGTGTGTGTCTGTGTGTGATGTGTGTGTCTGTGTGTGATGTGTGTGTCTGTGTGTGCCTGTGTGTGATGTGTGTTTGTGTGTGCCTGTGTGTGCCTGTGTGTGCCTGTGTGTGATGTGTGTGCCTGTGTGTGATGTGTGTTTGTGTGTGCCTGTGTGTGCCTGTGTGTGCCTGTGTGTGCCTGTGTGTGATGTGTGCCTGTGTGTGCCTGTGTGTGCCTGTGTGTGCCTGTGTGTGCCTGTGTGTGCCTGTGTGTGCCTGTGTGTGCCTGTGTGTGCCTGTGTGATGTGTGTTTGTGTGTGCGCTGCCCTTACTCCCCATCAGCTGGAGTGTCTAATTCCCGAGCTCAACCCCCAAATGGTCAGTCCCTCAACCCTTCCACTGCCCACTTGCTCCTCTCGCCAGTCACTGTTCACGCACTCTGTTACATTCCACGACGTTACTACGATTTCTCACTCGCTTTCTGCAGCCCTCACTCTCCATTCTCCCGTCCTCACTCACCCCTTCCCTGCCTCTTCTCAAACCTCCTTTTGCCTCGTCTTTCTCTTCCCCAACTTATCCACACCACACTCCCCGCTCTGCATTGCTCTGTCATTCATTCTGCGTCCCCCACTCTGTGTGCCCAACACCAGAACATGTACCACAGTGACTGCTGAATCTCCTCATTTGTTCCCTCCCGCGCTGCCCGTCTCGCTCTGCTCCTCTCATCATCCACCCTGCCTGCCTGCCGTGCACATAGGACGTGTACCGCATCGGCACGCTGCTGGAGCTCATGACCGTGTTTGAGGCAACCCAATGTAATCATTTAATGCCCTCGTCTATCCTTCCCCGCCCCGTGCCCTGCCTGCCTGCCTGCCGTGTCCTGCCTGTGCATCAGGATGTGTACCGCATCGGCACACTGCTGGAGCTCATGCGGGAGCTGGCATTCACCTTTGCACGCAAGGGCAAGCGCGTCAAGGTGAGGGCAGGCAAGGGAGGAGGGGTGAGGTTGAAGGGGGAGCGGATGTGCAGGTGCCGGGAATGTGAAAGGGGGAATGAAGGGGTGGAAAGAGGGAAGGGTGTGCGTGCAGGGCAGCATGGGGTCGGGCATATTCGCGGGCATGCCTCACACTCCCCTCTACCCGTCTCTCCGCCTGGCCCCCTGACCTTCCCGTGCGCCTCCGCCCTCTCCCCCTCCGCCCTCTCCCCCTTCCCCCTCCCCTCGTGCCACCCCCACCAGGTGTGTGTGCAGGGCAGCATGGGGTCGGGCATATTCGCGGGCATGCCGTTGCAGCTGGCGGGCACGCGCAGGCTGCTGGAGGCAATGGACTGGGGGGATGAGCTCAACAACAGAATCGTCCTCGGCTCCGTGGGTGGGTGGTGAATGCATGTGACTCGTTGCGTGGGTGCGCTAGAGGTGCGAGGGTGGGTGGGTGGGTGGGTGGCACGCGCAGGCTGCTGGAGGCCATGGACTGGGGGGACGAGCTCAATGAAGGAAGGTGCGTGCGTGAGTGGGGAAGGAAGGTGGCTCTGTGGTGTGATTGGTGTGGCTGGCTGCAAGGGAGCATCAAGCGCTCATTCCTCTTGCATCCATGACCTCTGTGCTCTCATGCTCCATGTGCTCATATTCTTGTTCGTCTCTCATGCTCCATGTGCTCATATTCTTGTTCGTCTCACATGCTCCTTTCTCCTTGCTGTGCCCACCATACCCCTTGTGCGCATCATGCACCAATCAGGAGCTGCTGAGGTGGCACCAGAGGATGACGTGGTGATCATCATGGCTCCTCAGAATGCGGTCGGAAACTGTATCCTCGATGTGAGTCACGTCTCTGCTGGTATGAGGCGCCTCAGCCTCAGGGGAGTGGACATCTGCTGGCTGAGGCGCTTCCATATGGCCACTCCCCTTGCCACGGCCCTCACCACTTCCCCCATCCACTCCCTCAGTCCCACTCCCTCAGCCCCACTGCCTCAGTCCCGCTCATGCAACCCCCTCCCCCGCGCCCTCACATGCCTTTCCATCCCTTGCGTCCCGCATGTCCCCCCATCCCCCTCTCCCTGCCATGTGCCCCCATCCCCCTCTCCCTGCCATGTGCCCCCATCCCCCTCTCCCTGCCATGTGCCCCCATCCCCTGCGCCCTGCTGGCAGGATCTGCAAGCCATGGTGGAGGCAGCAGCACCACGGCCTGTCATCATCCTCAACCCGCGCCTCAAGGTCACCCCTGCTGCCCTGCTGCCCTGCTGCCATGCTGCCATGCTGCCATGCTGCCATGCTGCCATGCTGCCATGCTGCCATGCTGCCATGCTGCCATGCTGCCATGCTGCCATGCTGCCATGCTGCCATGCTGCCATGCTGCCATGCTGCCATGCTGCCATGCTGCCATGCTGCCATGCTGCCATGCTGCCATGCTGCCATGCTGCCATGCTGCCATGCTGCCATGCTGCCATGCTGCCATGCTGCCATGCTGCCATGCTGCCATGCTGCCATGCTGCCATGCTGCCATGCTGCCATGCTGCCATGCTGCCATGCTGCCATGCTGCCATGCTGCCATGCTGCCATGCTGCCATGCTGCCATGCTGCCATGCTGCCATGCTGCCATGCTGCCATGCTGCCATGCTGCCATGCTGCCATGCTGCCATGCTATGTTGCGAAAGACGCAGGGCGCGTCATGCGTCCTGCGTCTGGACGCAGCGTCCGGACGCATGGACGCAGGACGCACGGCGTTTTTTTTTTTTCGGGCTGACCGAAAAAAAATCGATTGCGAATTTGACATTGACGATTTCGACGAATTATTCAAAGCTCGCTGGTTGGAGAAGGAAAGCTAGCAAATGAGGATTGAACATTGGGCGGGGGTCAAATTGAGATCTAGATCTGAGACAGCCCCACACAGCCCAACTTCGAAATTGGTTGGGTTGGCTTTTCTAGATCCAGAGCGGTGGTATGTGGTCAAGAGACAAAAATTGGTTGGATTTTGGTTGCACAAGACGTGACGATTTTGTGTGGTGGGGAGTCAATCTTGGAGATTGATAAGTTAGGGTTGGTCGCGAATCTTCGAATTCTGTCACCTTGCAGAATCCGTCAGTACTACTTTAGAGGACTTGATAATGCTTCTCTCAACTTCACGCTACTACGCCATGGCTTCATGCCTAGATCTTCCTCTCTCCTATATCCTTGCGTTTATAGTGGATATTGGAGACGGAGGCTTGTTCCCATGCCCTATAACAATTTTTTTTTGCTGCCCGGGGGTTTTTTTTGCCCTGCCCGGGCATGCGTCTTTTGTAGCGTCTCCCAGGCCCACATGAAGCGTCCTGCGTCTAAGACGCTGCGTCCGGACGCAACCGTCTAAGACGCAGGACGCGTCTTTCGCAACATAGCTGCCATGCTGTCATGCTGCCATGCTGCCATGCTTCCATGCTTCCATGCTGCCATGCTGCCATGCTGCCATGCTGCCATGCTGCCATGCTGCCATGCTGCCATGCTGCCATGCTGCCATGCTGCCATGCTGCCATGCTGCCATGCTGCCATGCTGCCATGCTGCCATGCTGCCATGCTGCCATGCTGCCATGCTGCCATGCTGCCATGCTGCCATGCTGCCATGCTGCCATGCTGCCATGCTGCCATGTGACCTTGCTATACTGCCATGCTTACTCATCATCCCTCGTATCCCTCCCATCCTGCCTCGTGCCCTCCCTGCGTGCCATCAGGACCTGCCGAGTGCAGCGGGGGTGATGCAGGTGGCGGGGAGGGCGGAGAGGGCAGCATTCGCGGACACCTTCGAGCTCTGCTACCTCATGCGTCTGCTCTACCTCTCGGGCACGCAGTACCCCATCCTCGGCGCGCTCAGGTCAGCCCCACCCCCCATTCCCTGTGGGGTGCCGCCAAACTTGATCTACGTCCCTGGCACTCAGTACCTCATTCTCAGCGTCTTCAGGTGGGACGATACCCTTTGAGATCTCAGCTGCGACGCCCACCTGTGAAACGGCACAGGCTACCCCATCGTCCTCACCATGCGCTACTTCATCCTTCTTGCCCTCAGCTATTGAGATTCGCCTGCCATAACCCCTCACTGGCCCCCAGGATGCACTACCCGTCCTTCTTTGAGGTGTACAAGCGCATGGACGTGTCCTTTGGGGTGGAGCGCTACGACTTCTTTACATGCTTTAGGTGACTTGAAACACGCCTGCCACCATCCCTCCTTGCCCCCTCAGGATGCGCTACCCATCGCCCTTTGAGGTGTACAAGCGTGTGGACGTGTCATTTGGGGTGGAGCGCTACGACCTCATGGCTACTCTGCCCTCCCTGCCCTCCTCCGCTGACATCAGCGATGCCTTTGCTGGCAAGACGTGAGTGGGGAGAGGGGAGGTGGGGGGGACGGGGGGTGGGGGTGGGGTAGAGATGGTGCGGGGTGGGGGGTGGGGGTGGGGGAAATTGGAAGAAATTGGAAATTGGAAGGATGCGTGCTCATGCTCATGCTCTTGCTAGTGAGTCTGGTCATATCCATGCAAACTCGTGCATGATCCTTCCCCGAGCCCGGTGACTTGCTCCCGACCTTGCGGCTCCATCCCTGGCACATCTCCTCTGAATGTGTCTGGTGTTTCTCCTGGTCGTGTATGTTTGTGCTGTGATGCATGGTGTATGCTGCATGTTATATGGTGCATGTTATATGGTGCATGTTATATGGTGCATTATATGGTGCATGGTCCATGGTGCATGCTGCATGGTGCATGGCAGGCCACGATCACAGACACAACCGGAAGGCATCTGGTGAGCAGCCCTTCACTCACTGCACATCCATGCACATGCTACACGCCACAGCCCCCCATCGCATCCCTGCTCTCAGCCCTCCTCTCACTGCACATCCATGCACATGCTACACGCCACAGCCCCCCATCGCATCCCTGCTCTCAGCCCTTCTCTCACTGCACATCCATGCACATGCTACACGCCACAGCCCCCCATCGCATCCCTGCTCTCAGCCCTTCTCTCACTGCACATCCATGCACATGCTACACGCCACAGCCCCCCCTCGCATCCCTGCCCTCAGCCCTCCTCTCACTGCACATCCCTGCACATGCTGAATGGCACATGCACCTCCTCACATCCCCGCTCTTCTGTCATTCACACTGCTCACGTGCCCCTTCACAACTCTCCATTCTCTCGTCCCTCTCTCGCTTGTGCTTCAACTGTGTGTCATCTTCTCCCACCTCACTCTTCATTCCCTCCATGTTGTCACGTGTGTGTACAACCACCAACAGGGGCTGGCTCTCCAAGGTCTTTTGAGTCCATCCATGGGTGCACTGCTCTCCTTCTCCACCATCAGTCGCATCACTGGCACCTCCGACTATGTATTTATTCGATGACCTCTCTAGTGGATGTCATCTGCGTGCTCCTTCACACAACACAAGTGCATGCTGCTCGTATTGCACTTTGCTCCAGCAATCCTTCTGAAATTTTGATTATCCTCCTCCAGTCTCAGTGGCCACTTCACCTCGAAATCCACTACTGCTCTCTTACTACATTTAGCTCCAGTGAGAAGCAATTCTAATCACTTCATTACAAGGGACTGTGCTCCAAATCACACATCCACGTGCAACTCCACCTGCAGCCACCCATTCAGGTGAGTGCTGGGGTTGCAATGACTCCTAGCTAGGCTGTTAGAACTACCGTATGTTATCCACCCGCACACGCTTTTACAGCGCCTGCGAATGGCTCTCCCTTCAGAACTTCCTCGTCAGATGAAGGAGTGTCTAACAGTGGTTTGGAGTCTGCCATTTCAATGTCCCTTGGGATATCAGCCTTCTGTGCCCTCACGACAATGGAATACACCCCTTCCGAGGTGTCTTGAAAGGCCTTTTTGGCGAGGATAGTGGCAATGAGTGTGCTCAGCACAACAGCTGCACTCCACCATGTGAATTGCAGAGTGGCAAGGGCCTCGGCCCTGCTGTGCCACACCTCGCTCTCGCATGCAACCGTGTTGACAACCACATCGCGCACGCAGTGAAGGGGCACCAGGGAGGGCACCCATATGCACAGCGCGATTTGGATAAACACCCCTCCCTGCAGCTGAAAGCTCATAGCGCGTACAAGCGAGAGCATGAAGGATGTGGGGTGCGCAATCTCAAGCGCCGCGCAGATTGCCCCGATAGCGATGGGGATTCTCAGCAGCACGTGGTAATGGCCTTCCAAGCCCATGTGGTCTGCTGAGTGGAAGTGGAAAAGCAGAAATTCCTGAGCCAGAGCCGAAGCACCCACTAAGTGTGCCAGGTATGGGGGGAGGCCCGGGAGAAGGTCACAGAGAAGGCAGGTGAGGGCGTGGAGGAGGAAGAATGAGGGAGATGGCAGCGTGCTCAAAGTTGTTGAATGCGCTGAGCAGGATCACGTGGTTCTTGTCGAGAGGGGAGAAATGCGGCTGAGTCAGCACGAGCTCCCTGCGCACCAGAATTGCGCGTCATAGCAAATTCAAACCAAAAAGGAAAAAAACGCATAGAATTTAGTAAACAAAAAGGTTGGGTGTTGTGAAACACATGCAACTGACATGAGTATTGAGGCTGTGGCGCCCAGTGCGATGAAGATCAGCTCCATGTAGCGCCTGACGCCTGTGGTGGCTGTTGGGAACCATGCACGCGATTGGAAGCTGCCAGGGTGCTTGAAAAAGGCTCGCAGGACGTTGAACTGCTGCCACGAGCCGAGTAGCAGGAAGGCGGCTCCGGGAAGCAGATGGCCCTCGAAAGTTCCCATGCTGGACCGCTAATTCTGAGAAGGCAAGCCAGATTGAAATTTCTTTAGGTGGTACTAGCTCGACGTACTCAAAGTACGATTGACAGCGGACAGTGGAGAAGTGACAATGGATGTGCAACCCGCGTGATAGAATCAGACGCAGAACGTGAACCGCGGTGAGAGGTGAAAGCCTCATTGGGACTCGCGAGCGAAGGCGGGGAGATGGTTTATGCACTGGTGCGGGCTGAGGGTGCGGAATGGCAAAAGGGTGAAAATGATGGCGTCCGCACCAAACCTCGTTCTTGTCAAAAAGGCACAGCATCGTGATGTGGGCGGTAGCATGTGCGCGGGGGAAATGTCAAATGCACATTGGAGATGCGCGTCGCGATTTCTGCTTTGTGCATGGCAGGGGTTGATTACAACTCCAAGGGGCTGGAATTACGTTTTGATTGTGTTTGCCCCAACGGTGGAATGTGATTGTGTTCAACAGGGCGACAGTGCTGATGATAAAAACGAAACCCAAACATAATATCTACCTTCTTGTATCTTTAACGAGCCCAATCCTTTACCAAGTAATATTGTAGCCTGACAGACACTACCCTTCATGGTCTACAATAGCCCACGTCAGCACATTGTGACCATCGACTTCGCACGAAAACTGCTTTCGATGGGCGAGCCACGCATCATGAATCTGGTCGCTCTCAGTACAATTCCACGGTCGCGATTGGTCATCTATATCCAACAGTTCACTTCACAGACACACAACGGAACGGAATCAGGGCTGTCGATTCAAGGGCATATGGCCTTAATGCCCTGAACATTAAGGTCTGACTTTGCCCCAAAGTCCAGATTCTCAGGGTTGATTCTCGGTACAGCCCGGAATGATAACGGGCGTGGGCTGGGCCTTCCCCTGATTCTTACAGGGGCCTCTTGGAGGGTTTCCCTGATTCCCCGCGGAAGTTTCCGGCCCTATCCGGAAAATTTCACAGCCCTTCCTACCCCCCCACCCGTTTTTCCCTTTCCATCCCATCCCATCCCATCATATCCCATTCTACCGTGAAAATGCTAGATTACGACGTGGACTGGGCAGGTGTATACCAGATCTTCGACGGGGACTTAGTTATTAGTGTTGAGAAAGTAGATAGGTAGATAGCAGTTCTAAATTAACTCTGCCTTTATTAGTTTTCGTTATATAGAGTTTGCCCTGACTGTTGTAGTGAGCCCTGAATTTAAGTGCCTGGAACCAATCGACAGCCCTGAACGGAATGCAAGTCCTGCTGAACTGAGTTGCAAATTGCATTGCAATGCAAACTGGGGACGGTTCTGCCTCACAAAAGTGTCGTACTGTACAGCGAATTCAAAGCCTAGAATTGAGGTGAGAGCAGTTTTCCCACACTAAACGCCCGACCGCCAACAACGCGCCTCCACTGATACAAGCTGGAGCGTCACTAGTTCTAACTAAACCACGGTACTGTTCTGTACAGCAGTGGGTGAAGACTGTTCTGTATCGCTGTTCAAACCAGGGAAAGTACATGGAAAAGTACATCCCAGCTCCATAGTTTCAGATTTCTCTCATATTTACCCCCAGGTTTACTCAAAAAGTACCAGTTTCTGGATTTTGGCTCACGCGAGGCCCAAACTATGTTCAAAACTGGTCCTGCGGGGCAAAGTTTCCGACACGTGTCCTCTTTTCATACCATCTGATGCACTTCCGCTCTGAAGAAACCGTTTCTGGCCTTTTCTGCCCACCCACTGCTTCTTCTGGTGGGCTCTGGATTGAGGGCTGGCACTGCTGTAGATTCGTCCCGCTGGCCAGAACACTGTGCTGTAACTGTTGTCAAGCCCCCCCACACCCTGAAAACAAATATAAACGCGCCCCAGCCACCCCAGGCCCTCAACCCCACCTGCCTCAACCTTCCCTCTCACTCACGATCCGCAATCCCTTAGCTTCTTCGATCTTGAGTGAGACCCAAAGTTAGGGTTTCCCGTGACGACATATACCCAAGCTGATTGGATGCATCTATATCTATTTGATCACCAGTGTTGCGATGGATAGGAATCTAAGCACGGCAGCGGTGCGGTAGCGGATCGACATTGGGACCGCGATCCTCCGCATGTTCAAAGTTTTCGTATCATAAACTGGCAAAATCTGTGAGTTGCATGCAAGCATTTATTTGCATCCATTAGCGCAGTAGGCCCAGCGCATTGGCCCAGGTTCCGTGGCTCTAACGACCGTGACGCCATAGGAGCGAGAGACTTAGGGTCAAAACCTGTAGCGCCAATGCCCGTCGCGCCAGCGACCTTGGCGCCACTGCGTTTGGCGCCAATGCGCCTGGCGTCACCGCGCTTGGCGCCAACGCGCCTGGCGCCACTGCGCTTGGCGCCAATGCGCCTGGCGTCAATGCGCTTCAAGCGCTAATGCGCCTGGCGTCAATGCGCCTGGTGCCACACCGCTCGGCGCCAATGCGCATGGCGCCAATACCGTTGGCGCTAATGCGCTTGGCGCCAATGCGCATGGCGCCAATGCGCTTGGCGCCAATACCGTTGGCGCTAATGCGCCTGGCGCCAATGCCTTTGGCGCTAATGCGCCGGGCGTCAGTGCGCCTGGTGCCACTGCGCTTGGCGCCAATGCGCCTGGCGCCACTGCGCTTGGCGCCAATGCGCATGGCGCCAATGCGCCTGGCGTCAATGCGCTTGGCGCTAATGCGACTGGCGTCAATGCGCTTGGCGCCAATGCGCATGGCGCCAATGCGCCTGGCGTCAATGCGCTTGGCGCTAATGCGCCGGGCGTCAATGCCCTGGTGCCACTGCGCTTGGCGTCAATGCGCCTGGTGCCACTGCGCTTGGCGCCAATGCGTCTGGCGCCACTGCGCTTGGCGCCAATGCGCATGGCGCCAATGCGCCTGGCGTCAATGCGCTTGGCGCTAATGCGACTGGCGTCAATGCGCTTGGCGCCAATGCGCATGGCGCCAATGCGCCTGGCGTCAATGCGCTTGGCGCTAATGCGCCGGGCGTCAATGCCCTGGTGCCACTGCGCTTGGCGTCAATGCGCCTGGCGCCACTGCGCTTGGCGCCAATGCGCATGGCGCCACTGCGCTTGGCGCCAATGCACCTGGCGCCAATGCGCCTGGCGTCAATGCGCTTGGTTGTGCTCCCATCCCTGGTTGTGCTCCCATCCCTGGTTGTGCTCCCATCCCTGGTTGTGCTCCCATCCCTGGTTGTGCTCCCATCCCTGGTTGTGCTCCCATCCCTGGTTGTGCTCCCATCCCTGGTTGTGCTCCCATCCCTGGTTGTGCTCCCATCCCTGGTTGTGCTCCCATCCCTGGTTGTGCTCCCATTCCTGGTTGTGCTCCCATCCCTGGTTGTGCTCCCATCCCTGGTTGTGATCCCATCCCTGGTTGTGCTCCCATCCCTGGTTGTGCTCCCATCCCTGGTTGTGCTCCCATCCCTGGTTGTGCTCCCATCCCTGGTTGTGCTCCCATCCCTGGTTGTGCTCCCATCCCTGGTTGTGCTCCCATCCCTGGTTGTGCTCCCATCCCTGGTTGTGCTCCCATCCCTGGTTGTGCTCCCATCCCTGGTTGTGCTCCCATCCTTGGTTGTGCTCCCATCCCTGGTTGTGCTCCCATTCCTGGTTGTGCTCCCATCCCTGGTTGTGCTCCCATCCCTGGTTGTGATCCCATCCCTGGTTGTGCTCCCATCCCTGGTTGTGCTCCCATCCCTGGTTGTGCTCCCATCCCTGGTTGTGCTCCCATCCCTGGTTGTGCTCCCATCCCTGGTTGTGCTCCCATCCCTGGTTGTGCTCCCTCCTCTCTCTCATCCCGCGCGCTATCCCCAATCGCTGTGTGTGCCTGCAGGCCTGCTGGACGTGAAAAGATGGCAGAAGGATAAAATATCCCCCTGCCTGGTGAGGAAAGTCCTCCCTCACGTGCCCTTTCTCTCTCACGCACGCCCCCCCATCACCTCCCCTCTACATCCCCTCCCCTCCCTTTCCTAAACCCTTCCCTCCCCTCCCCTTCCCTCCCCTCCTCTCCCCTCCCCTCCCTTTACTAAACCCTCCCCTCCCCTTTCCTCCCCTCCCCTCTCTTTACTAAACCCTACCTTTCCCTCCCCTCCCCTTCCCTCCTCGTACCCTCCCTTCCCCTCCCCTCCCCAACCCTCCCCTTCCCGCCCCTCCCCTCCCCTTCCCGCCCCTCCCCTCCCCTCCCCGTACCCTCCCCTCCCATCCCCGTACCCTCCCCTCCTCTCCCCTCCCCTTCCCGTAACCTCCCCTCCCCTCCCCGTACCCTCCCCTCCCCGTACCCACTTGCCACCCTGGCAGCCATCGCCCTCTCCTGCGAGGTCCTCTCCTTCCTTGTTTCTCTGCTCTTCCGCTTCGCCACGCTGCGTGCCTCCATCTGCATGCAATCCCACAGTTTGGGATCCGTGTTCGCCTCGCCGCTCCCCTTCTTCCACCGGCGTGCTGAACCGCTTCAGCGAGGACGTCGGGGTGACCGATGCTGTGCTTCCACAGTTGCCGCTGGATATCCTGAATGTGAGTTGAAGGGTCGAGAGAGGGGTGGGGGGGAGTGATGGAGGGAGGGAAGATTGAGGAGGGTTCAAAACGAGTTGGATGTTTCACGACATCTGGATACCGTGTAGCACATAGTTGCACCCACCATACTACCAGTCACCCACTCTCCCATCTCCATCCTCCATACTCGATCCCAGTCCTGCTAAACCCGTGCTATCCTTCCCACCCTCCACTTGCCTGCAGCCTTTCAGCCTAAGCATGGCGGTGGTGGTATCGGCGTGCATTGCTGTGCCGTGGACGCTCATCTCCATGCTGCCCTCCTCCCCCCTTCCCAAGCTCACCTCAGATTCTATCAATCCTTCTCTCCACCTCTCAAGGCCTGCCAACCATCCGAGCCTTCTCCCAGCAGCGCCGCTTCCCAAGCTCACCTCAAATTCTATCCTCCCGTCCTCTCTCCGCCGAACACTAGATTTGTTTACCTACAGAATTATAAGTTTCCATGCATGAGCCACAATATTATTAGAAATTGTGTATGGTTACAATTCTCTGCAAGCATATGGCTATATATACATTGTGAAGTGATTTTGTACCGCATAAGTAAGATATATCATGCTATCGAAACCCTTGCAACATCTATTACTTCTCTGTCCATTCTCATTTAAAGGGAAGTTGTTGCACTCGTTTTTCAATGCAGCCCAAAAGAGAACATCCTTTGTCTAGGGACGAATTAACATGCCGCTTTGAAACACAAAGAGAGGTATCTATATGATTAGTTTGAGTCTTTGTTTAACACGTAGGCCACACAATGACTAGTTAGAGAATCTGCTCCTTGGTACTTTTAGAACTAGGTATGGGTTGGGTTGGGTACTCAACTCAACCAATGCTTGTGTTAAAAATCCAATCAACCATACACGTCTGCAACCAACAAATCTGGGTCATGCACAACTACCGTTACTGATATGTGTGTCATTCCTTTCTGTATACACACACAAACCGAATGGTGATAATCTCTATTTTCCATCTGAAGATATGGAGGAAAAAGGTGGTGAGAAGACGAGAAGGGTACTGTACGTTAGAGAGGACATGATTCTAAGCAGTCACTGATATGAAAACGGCTTTGTGGGCTATAATACTGTATGATATTGTAATCAGAATATGCTGGCCTTTTCTATGCTGTTTGTAGTTATAGAGACTATTTCAAGATATTTTCTAGAGTATATGGTACGGTATTGGACCACTGCTTGTGTTATACCGGTAGATCCAAACAACTGCACACCTCTGACATCAGTAATTCTGTGCTGTGCAATTAGGGAAATGATACCGTATGTTTGTTGCGTTGCACTGCTTGTGCATATACTCCTATAAAACAAAGCATTTTCTACGGTTTTTATATTCCAACAACTGGATATTTTAACTGCTTAAATAGGGGCTAAATGCCGCGGTACAATGCAAACTCTCCCAGTAGTCTGAGAAGCTAAGTAGTTCCAGTAATATGTTTGAGGATAAGCTGACAAGATCTCTTTATGATCCCCAACTGTACGAATATTTCATCGAAGATTGGCAGAACCAATGGCCTTAATGGTACATTAATGCTTGTCGAGCGCACTCTACTCTTGATCATTGGCAATGGTCAAGGAGAACCACACGGGAGGCATGTCAAGAGATGATGGAATGAGGCGAGACGATTCAAGAAAACTCTTCCGTGTAGTCACTGAAACAGGAATGGAGATGGAGAAAAAGCGAGGGAGGGCGAACGGTGAAGGTGAAGATACGTTATGGTGAAAGCGCAGGCTGTAATGACCCAACTTGAAAGCAGAGATAGGAAGAAGGGTGCGAGGGATAAGAGGAGCTAGGGAAAGGGGAAAGGAGGAGATAGGTAAAGGGGGAGAGCGAAAGTAAGAGATCAGAATAAAGGGGAGAGGGAATGTGGGAGATAAGAGGAGGAAGAGGAAATGGGGAACATAGGAGGACTCGGGTGAAGGAAAGGATGTAGGAAGAGGGTGGAGAAATGAGAGGTAGCAGAAGGAGAAATGAGAGGTAGCAGAAGGAGAAATGAGAGGTAGCAGAAGGAGAAATGAGAGGTAGCAGAAGGAGAAATGAGAGGTAGCAGAAGGAGAAATGAGAGGTAGCAGAAGGAGAAATGAGAGGTAGCAGAAGGAGAAATGAGAGGTAGCAGAAGGAGAAATGAGAGGTAGCAGAAGGAGAAATGAGAGGTAGCAGAAGGAGAAATGAGAGGTAGCAGAAGGAGAAATGAGAGGTAGCAGAAGGAGAAATGAGAGGTAGCCTCATTCTTACCTCGCAATGGGGTTAAGCTTGTCCAGCACGACGTCGTTGTTGAGTCTCTTCTAGGGGTGGGCGCCGTTCCATCTGCTCATGTGTCCGTTTTAAGCGCTGCTGCTTCCTCTGATAAAGGCGCCGCTGTCGATTTAGCCTCTGCTGCTCTTTTCGCTGCAAAAATTCTTGCTGATGTACCCCACCATCACCGTTGCTCCTGCATCCGCCCACCCCTGTACCAGGTTGATGCTCTGGCTGCGCCTCCCCTGATGGCACATCTTGCCTGTGGGTTCGTTGCTCCTCTACTGCATCATCCACCACTGCCTGCTGCGCCACTTGGCATTGCTGTCGCATCCGTGACAGCCACCGCCGTCGTTCCCCAATCACTCTCTCCACACTCCGCGGCTGTACACCAGCAATTGTTGATGTACTACCAGCACTCTGCCTTGGTGCTCTCATCCCTCCCCTTCCTCCCCTTCCACCCCTCCCTCCGCTTTGCCACACTCGCGGCGCCTCTGGCCTATGCGGATGAGCCCCCATCCCTCCCTGAACAGAATCAGCCCTTATCCCTCCAGGAGCAAGATCAGCCCCCATCCCTCCCTGAGCAGGTTCAGCCCCCATTCCTCTCTGAGCAAAATCAGCCCCCATCCCTCCCTGAGCAGGTTCAGCCCCCATCCCTCCCTGAGCAAAATCAGCCCCCATCCCTCCCTGAGCAGGTTCAGCCCCCATTCCTCCCTGAGCAAAATCAGCCCCCATCCCTCTCTGAGCAGGATCAGCCCCCATCCCTCCCTGAGCAGGATCAGCCCTCATCCCTCCCTGAGCAGGATCAGCCCCCATCCCTCCCTGAGCAGGATCAGCCCCCATCCCTCCCTGAGCAGGATCAGCCCCCATCCCTCCCTGAGCAGGATCAGCCCCCATCCCTCCCTGAGCAGGATCAACCCCCATCCCTCCCTGAGCAGGATCAGCCCCCATTCCTCCCTGAGCAAAATCAGCCCCCATCCCTCTCTGAGTATGATCAGCCCCCATCCCTCTCTGAGTAGGATCAGCCCCCATCCCTCCCTGAGCAAAATCAGCCCCCATCCCTCCCTGAGCAGGTTCAGCCCCCATCCCTCCCTGAGCAAAATCAGCCCCCATCCCTCCCTGAGCAGGTTCAGCCCCCATTCCTCCCTGAGCAAAATCAGCCCCCATCCCTCTCTGAGCAGGATCAGCCCCCATCCCTCCCTGAGCAGGATCAGCCCCCATCCCTCCCTGAGCAGGATCAGCCCCTTGCTCCTTGTGACCACCTACCACCCCACCTTGTCCAATGAAGCCATCTGTGTCGCATGTAGCGGTGACCCCACTTCTTCCTCTGCCTCCCCTTCCTCCCCTTCCTCCCCTTCCTCCCCTTCCTCCCCTTCTTCCCATTCCCCCCCTTCCTCCTCTTCCTCCCCTTCCTCCCGTTTCACCCCTTCCTCCCGTTTCACCCCTTCCTCCCGTCTCACCCCTTCCTCCCCTTCCCCCACTTCCTCCCCTTCCTCCTCTCCCTCCTCTTTCACTTGCATCCGCTGCTGCAGGCCTGGGCTCACCCTCCGTTCGGGCTCCTTCTGCAGGAACAGAATGTACCTCCTCAGCGCCATTCTCCACCCTCCTTTCACCAGATGTCCCTGCTCCCACCTCATTGACATCGACACCACTATGACGGATGGGAGGATATGTTCTTTCAAACAACTCCACCATTGGCTGATTTGCGTGGTTGTCGACATCATTCTCCAATGAAGCATTCTGCTCGACACCCTCAATGTTCTCCCCCTCTAGAGCATCCTCATCCTCAGTATCCTCCTCACCATTAGAAAATGTGTTGCTCTCTCCATCGCTCTCCCTCTGGTCCTGTCCATCTTGCTCTCGCTGTTGCCGCAGGGGTGCGCAAAAGACTCCTCTACGATGCAGATTACCGCACGCGCTGCACGCGGAAAGACTCACAGATGCTTCAGCTTGGGTGGCTGTTTGCACGTTGAGATGGCCCGCCGGCAATCTCATTGCCTCCCAAATGGCATTGCGTTGTGCCCGCAAATCACAGGTCAGCCGGTTATGTCCTTTCTCCCCACACTTTCCGCATTTTCGCAGCTTCCTCCCATCGAGCTCACCATGGGACCTCAGCCTTCTGTCACGTGGCCTCCCAGGCTTCTTTGGGTATGATGGTGCCATAGTTTCACCATCTGGAATGAAGTCCGTTGGGTCCAGACTCTCGAAGGCGTTGCTATAAACTTGGCGTAGAGCAGCAGGGGTGTAAATCCGATCCACAACCTCCATGGCACCAGAACCGGTACCATGGAGACTAAATGCCGCAAAAATGTGGACACACGGCAACCCGTACTCGCTGCAAGTTGGGGAATGGGGCGAGGAGATTACGAGAATATTGTAGTATGATGAGGTTGACTACAAACCAGCACATACAATAAGTGGTGAAGATGTGCAAGGGTTTTGTGGTTGAATGCACTTACCGTGTGTAGTTGCAAGAACACACTGATTTCTTGGGTTCCTGAAGATCAATGCGCACCCGCCTTTGCTCGTTCCCGCTTCGCCGCGTAACCTTGTACGAGATGCGGTGACCGTTCGATGGGTCGAAGGGCCCTGTCTGCTCCGCCCTGTACGACGTCCCCTTCTCTCGGTTTTCCGTAATGATGGCAGCAGTTTTTGTGGGAAAATCGGCCTCATTCAACTGTCCATACGTCTTCCCCATCTCACACAATGCAATGGCTTCTTTCTGGATGAAAGATAGAAGAACCTGAGCTGGATTTTGTCTCCTTACACTACGCATTGTCGCATGGTGTGACTCTACGGGATTAGAGGAGTAACATCCATAGCGTGGTGCCCCGAAGCGTGATGCAGCCCACTTTTGAGATAACCCCTCTTTTTCTAAATACTCCTTCCCCCCCGGACATTCTTCCTCTACCTTGTCCATCATCCCCCTGTAAACGTCCGGTGTTAAGGCAAATGCAGCCAACTCAATCTTTCCATCCACGGTCGAGCCAAACTTCGAATTGAAATTCCGGGTGATATGAGTGATGCAGAAAGACTCACGGATGAGAGGCATCATGAGTAACCTGGCGGCCTTCCATGCCTTCCCACGGTCATGCATGAGTGTAAAGTTAGGAGAATTCAGTTCTGGGACAGCTTCGAGTAGTAGCTGCAAAAAGTAACCACAAGCATCCCCATTCTCACCCTCAACCCAGGCGCTCCCCATTCTCACCAGCTTGTGTTCACAATCTAAAAGAACAGCGTTGAGTGTGCATCCCCCCCATCTTCCCTTGTTGTGACAACCGTCGAAAAAAACAATCGGTAAACAGTTTAGGGCTGCTGTTCTTGCACCTGGAAATGTCATTCCCGCCCTCCAAAACATATTGCCTTTCCTTCTCATGGACACAACACTCGTCGGATTCTCCCTCTTGAAAACTTGTAGTATACTTCGCATGTACTGAAACCCTTTGTCTCCAGCAAGGGCATCCTCTGCATTCACCTCATTAATGGATGTGTTGGATGTGTTGTATGAGCAGCTCGTTCCAAGGTGCTCTTGCACGAGATTCCTAAGCCCGTGTGGCCTTAGATCCCTGTATGGCATGACGGCCCGAGCAATCTCTTTAACCTCCGTTCTTCGCACCCTTCCTGCGTTAACGGTGCACCTTGTGAGATGCTGCAGGCAGGCCTCTCTGACTTGAAATCGGCAACCACGGGGACCCCTTGCAAATATGCGAAACGGACATCCGTCAATGGGATGCTCGGCTCCTTTCTCTGGCCATGGTCGTCCTTCCATAGACTTACAACGCGCATCAAGGCGCTCTGCGTCATTGTGCTCCCAATATATGCCCCGTTTCTTCTGTCGCGCATACCTTTTGATTGCTTCCCGAGCTTCTTGAACAGATTGGAAGACCGTCCCCACAGAGAAATCAGTTTCAGTAAGCCCCTGCGCAAACAAACCGCTGCTGAGATTCACTCAACGGGGGCAAACGAGAAAGAGAGTGGGACGCAATATGAAAGGAAAGAGAGAGTTAGCGAGTGGAACGGAGGTAGCAAGGACAATGGTGGGTGGGGGGCCGTAAAAGCAACCAAACGAGAGCAGCATGAGAAGGGAGTTGTAAGCACAGAGCTCGAAAACAGGTGCCGTTAGAGAGTGAAATCGGCAGAGGTAAGGATGATGAATGGTAGTCATATCGCAAGAGAGTGCTAGCTGAAAGATAAAATCTCGAGCAAATAGACATATAGCTACTGAACGTCACGTAGTACAAAGGTATTATTACTTAACACCAGCCCCTTGAAACATTTCGGGTTCGAGGTTTAGAGCCACAGCTGATTAGCGACATGATAGCACGGTTTGGAGAGACTGATGATGTGCAGGACTTGTGGCATTGATGAGCAAGAGTTGGGCAAGAACCAGCTGACGGATAGGTGGGGAAAGATTGCAGGCAGGGCAGGGTAAGTTGTGAGTGACATGAGTGGAAAGCGATGCAGGCCAGCGTCGAGTCATATAGATGGTCATGCTGGCCAAAAGCGAGGCGACCGGCGCATTAGCGCCAAGGGCATTGGCGCCAGGCGCATTAGTGCCAACGGTATTGGCGCCAAGCGCATTGGCGCCATGCGCATTGGCGCTAACCGCATTAGCGCCAACGGTATTGGCGCCATGCGCATTGGCGCCAAGCGCATTAGCGCCAACGGTATTGGCGCCATGCGCATTGGCGCCGAGCGGTGTGGCACCAGGCGCATTGACGCCAGGCGCATTAGCGCTTGAAGCGCATTGACGCCAGGCGCATTGGCGCCAAGCGCAGTGGCGCCAGGCGCGTTGGCGCCAAGCGCGGTGACGCCAGGCGCATTGGCGCCAAACGCAGTCGCGCCAAGGTCGCTGGCGCGACGGGCATTGGCGCTACAGGTTTTGACCCTAAGTCTCTCGCTCCTATGGCGTCACGGTCGTTAGAGCCACGGAACCTGGGCCAATGCGCTGGGCCTACTGCGCTAATGGATGCAAATGAATGCTTGCATGCAACTCACAGATTTTGCCAGTTTATGATACGAAAACTTTGAACATGCGGAGGATCGCGGCCCCAATGTCGATCCGCTACCGCACCGCTGCCGTGCTTAGATTCCTATCCATCGCAACACTGGTGATCAAATAGATATAGATGCATCCAATCAGCTTGGGTATATGTCGTCACGGGAAACCCTAACTTTGGGTCTCACTCAAGATCGAAGAAGCTAAGGGATTGCGGATCGTGAGTGAGAGGGAAGGTTGAGGCAAGTGGGGTTGAGGGCCTGGGGTGGCTGGGGCGCGTTTATATTTGTTTTCAGGGTGTGGGGGGGCTTGACAACAGTTACAGCACAGTGTTCTGGCCAGCGGGACGAATCTACAGCAGTGCCAGCCCTCAATCTAGAGCCCACCAGAAGAAGCAGTGGGTGGGCAGAAAAGGCCAGAAACGGTTTCTTCAGAGCGGAAGTGCATCAGATGGTATGAAAAGAGGACACGTGTCGGAAACTTTGCCCCGCAGTACCAGTTTTGAACATAGTTTGGGCCTCGCGTGAGCCAAAATCCAGAAACTGGTACTTTTTTAGTAAACCTGGGGGTAAATATGAGAGAAATCTGAAACTATGGAGCTGGGATGTACTTCCCCTTCAAACCAACAGCCATTGTCAATCCCTCGCCCTCCATCGCCTCTCGCTCTCTTGTGGCTCAGCTTTGCGTAGGCCGAAGCTACCGCGCTCCACTGTTGCGCGGCGCACGTAGGTCAGCGGCCGCGCGTGGTCCTGTAAACTTGGCAGCATCTGAAGTAGTACGTCAGTGAGGAAACATCGCAGAAATGGTTCCAACCAGGTTTTATGGACGACAGTGTCCGTCACGACTCACGACGACTGCAGGGCAGTCGGGCAGGTGCGATGTGAAATCCCGACATCGGCGGGAGAACCGAGGGCGCGCCACTCTGTGTGGTTCGGAAACGCCCGCACCGCACCGAAGCGGTCGAGGGCGGTGTGAGGGACGAGGATATGACGTGGCGCGTCTGTTCACGCTGCCGCCGCCACACACTGACCCTCACCACGCACACCAAAGGCGGAGCTCAGCCGCAGCCGCATTGCGTTCATGATTCATAAGCCAGCCCAGGCAGCCGTTGCCACCATCACCACCACCACCTTTAGACATTACTACTTGATAGGTATTACTACTACTAGCAGCGGTGTTAGCAATATTAGTCCTACTCGGACCTGTTCTAGTCGACGCTGTCGCCCTTCACTGCCCTTGCGATTGTCACGGTGAACGAAACCCTTCGCGTTTCCACGTAGCATTTACAAGAGCACTGCGGATTAACAAGCCTGCTTAGCTCACAGCAATGCTCGCGTGCACCGTAATGGCCGCACGGCCCATGACCTCCACAGTCCCTAGAAGCAGCTCAGCGCAAGTCACGGCGGCAATCGCGCTGGCTCTCGCGCTGTCCGCGGCGTGTACGAGGCCTGTCGTCGCGTCGTTCTGCGCCGACTATGTGAAGGCCTTCAAAACCCCCGAGCTTCCATCCGAGGATGACATTGTCCTCAGCGCGTACACGGTACGTGAAACGCGGCACGCAGTCTTTAAGGATTAGTAAAAATCTCACATTAGTGAAATCTCGCTCACCGTAAGAAGTCACTCACAGCCAATGACCCCTTCCAGTCTGCGCGGCTGCGATCTGAGAGATCGCCGCGTTTTCACGCAACGCATCGCGCAGTCACAGCTGACCTCACACCCTTGACGTCCCCCCCACTCAACGTTCTTCTGACTCTCACGACGCCGACATATGCGAACGACTCACACCCTTCTCGGGACCTCCTTCTCTCATTCGCTGCTCACGCCTCGTGGTAGTGATTCTTTCCCAACCTCCAAGTCGCCAACCTCGCCAGCTTTGTCAACCTCCATCCGCGTTGTTGTCTAACCGCTTGCAGGGCCGGTGGTACGAAATCGGGTCGACGGCGGGGTTCCGATTCACGTTCGAGCTAGGGCTGACGTGTACGACGGCCAACTACACGGCGAAGGGGGTCACGCCCAGCGGCCGCGCCAAAGTCAAGTGAGTTCTGGGTGGCATGCGAGCAAAGCACCAGCCTTGAGTGACGGCGGTTAATGTGCTGAGAAACAAACGCGGTGCATGTGCATATCCTTGGCCACAAATGCTTGGATATCATCACGTGAATGAGTCAAAATTGTTAGCTTTTCTCCTGAAAAGTTAATCAACCAGTTGAATAATCACATGTCATTCTAGCTTCCATCTCAAGCATCTGTTTCCTCCCTTACCCGCCCGCCTTCCCTCACTTATTTGCGGTTTCTTCCTCCCTGCATCGAACTGTTTCGCCCATCTTCCAGGGTGGTAAACCGTGGCAAGCGCAGCGTTGCTCTCCCGCGTCGCTCGCAGATCTTCACCACCTCGTTAAATGCCAACCGCATTGCTAGCAATCTCAGGATCGTCTGTGGGGCCGCCAACGCCGCCACCACAGCGAGCGCTCAAGCACAGACCCTCCTTTCCGCAAACGCAGCCGCCAACAGCAGCGCTGTATCCCTCGCTGCAGCCGATAAACTCGCTGCATTTGCCACGACGGTGTCCTCCGACGCAGAGATCATTGACAATGCCTTGAGAGATTTTCAGACGGAGGCCGACAAGCTGAATAAACGCGGGCAGCCCAAGGGATTTAGCGCTTCCAAAAGTACGATGCTCAAGTCCATCTCCAACATCCAGGGCGCCGCCGGGCGAATTCTCCAAGCGGCTTTCACCGGGAAGACTGCGGCACAGGGACTGTCTGGAGCGCTTAGAGCCATGGGTGGGCAAGGCGCAGAGACCGCTGCCAATGGGGTACGTGAGAGCTGAAGCCAGCATGCTGCTCTCCTTGGGATCAGCTTGGGTGCACTTGCTGCCTTGCTGTGCCTGGTGCCACCGGCCAGAAGTTTGGTTCGTTCACGTGCTCCAGTGTTCTGTGTGCGTTTACCCATGTGTGACACATATGCAGCTGGGTTCGCTGGTTGGGAACACAAGGATAATGTTTGCGGCTACCAGCATTGTGCGGCTAGCCACAGTCATGGTTGCACCCACAGTTGCCATGGTGCCGTCGCCTCTCAGAAGCCTTTCACAAGGCTTCATTTGCGGCAAGGCCTTGCAAAGCAAGAAGAATGTAAGCTTGCTCCAGGCCTGCCTTGTTCTTGGGAGTTGTGCTGGCTCCCTTTTGTATTTCCCCTTTGGACTCACACTGGTGTTTTTTTGTCGTCTGTGGGTGCAGCCGGGCCGGCTCTCTGTGACATTCTTTGGCCCAGCGCCAACAAAGCCCAACTACTCTGTGTTTAACGTGCAAGGAGATGCATCGGGATACACACAAGCAACTGTGATTGACACAAGTGGAGGCGAGGTAAGTCTGTTTTTCCCTTTTCCCTGTTGATGCTTTACAATCACTGTGGAGAATACTGATCTTTCTTGGTAATGCTTTACCACTGCAGGCCACAATTTTGCTTCTGTCTCGCACACCTACAATCCCGCAGTCTGAGATAGATGCTGCGTTGGCGCGTCTTACTGATGCTGGAGTACGGCTAACTGGAGCCAACGCATTCTTGCTTACTGACCAGAGTACAAGTTGGTGCACCAAGTATTGGAGCACATTGAGATAAAATTAGATTGGTGCACTTGTTTACTCTTATGTGTGTATAGAGCTAATGCAACGTACTGTAATCATCCGGACATACCACCCTAGGGTGCTATGATAACTACATCAAAAAAAGGGGGGGGGGGGGGTCTTGTCATGGGAAAAAGCTACATAACACCCGGTACATTTTTTTAAAAGCAGAAACGGCTGGAAACACAATGTACATGCTTGCTGCAATGGTAGATTGTTGGTTGGGTGCGCAAAACCGAGGATGAGGCGATAACGTTAGGGCGTGTGCACTTTGGGCGAAATTTGTCAAAGTTCGAACATTCACCGCTTTGCACCGAGTAGAACCTCGCTAAAAGTTCGAACTTAGACAGAAGTTCGAACCCCTAGTGCACACGCCCTTAGCCTCGAGTGGAAGCTGCCACATTGCAAGCTCCAACAGGCCCTCTGTCATGCCCTGATTGGTCGAAAACACACCCCCCGTCGCTCGACGAGGATTCATGCAGTCACAGAGGCGGGAGTCCCGCAACAGGCTTAGCAGCCTCGCTGGTGCGGTCACGTCCCTGCACAAAATTTAGGCGAAATCAGCAATTTTTTCCGTACATAACACCCCTCCGGGTCTTATACCGGATCGGCCCAAAAGGGGGGTATAGTAGAAACGAGGTCCGCTATAGCACCCACCCCGCACAAGCCACCCGGGGGGTGTTCAATTTCGGCGGGTGGTATGTCCGGGTGATTACGGTAATGAGCCAGAGATTGTAGTGGAAGCCTTCTCACCCCAAGTTGTGCGATCCACGACCATCCTCGTCAGGTACTTCAGCAAGTATGTTTGCGGTCATCGATTACTCGATAATCCGAAGTGATCTTCTGTACATTGTGGCTTGGGTTAGAAGTTGCTTTGACGCGTTTCGGAGTTTCGAATGAAGAGACCTTTCGTCACTGCAGAACATTACCGGGTGGGGATTCGTGGTGCAGCGTGTCAAATGTGTAGCCTGTAGTGAGGCTTGTCTTAGGGGGTACAAATGTTAGGGTTTGCTATATGTACCCCAACCCACATCAATGAACCATCATTCAGTTTCTAACATGGTATCAGCTAGGTTAGGATCCTGTGGGATCCCGCTCCTCCCGTCCACGTTCGTCCCGCCCGAGCTTGTCTCGTTCCGTAGTCCTAGTCGCGCCTGTCTCGCCCGAGCCTAGCGCCGCACGTCTCTCTCGTTCGTTAGCACTCGCCGCGCCTTCTGCGTAGCGTCTTCCCCCTCCCCGTCCGTCCCCCGCGCTTCCCCCTGCCCGTCCGTTCCCCGCGCTTCCCCCTGCCCGTCCGTCCCCCGCGCTTCCCCCTGCCCGTCCGTCCCCCGCGCTTCCCCCTGCCCGTCCCGTCGCGCGCGCCTTCTCTGCCCGTCCGTCGCGCGCGTCTCCCGTTACGCCCTCCCGTCGCGCTGCCGCGACCGCCCGTTACGCCCGTCGCGGGCCCTCCCTTCGCGCCGCCGCGCCTGCTCGTTAGCCCGCCGCCGCGCCTGCTCGTTAGGCCCGCCGCGGGCCCTGCCTTCGCGCCGCCGCGCCTGCCCATTACGCCCGCCGCCGCGCCTGCTTGTTAGGCCCGCCGCGGGCTCTCCCTTCGCACCGCCGCGCCTACCCGTTCGGCCCACCACGGGCCCTCCCATTCTCCCCTGCCACGCCTGTCAGTTACGCCCGCCGCGGGCCCGCCCCTTGTGCCCGCCGCGCCTGCGTTTTGCGCCCGCCGCGGGCCTGCACTCGCCGCCCGCCGTCCCTACCCGTGCCGCCCGCTGCGCCTGCCACTGCGCCCTGCCGGTCTTGTAGCTTCTGCTTTCGCTATGGCGACCCCTAGGGTCCTTCGCTTTGACGCCAAGGGTAGGCCCCTCGAGTTCTCTGTCTGGCTCCAGCGTGCGCAACATCTCCTAGAGAGTCAGGTGCAAGCAGATGAGTCCCTGTGGGCGCACGCATCCGGTGACCTCCCCGCGGACCCCGCTCCTGCTACCCTAGGACCTGACGCGACCACTGCGGACAGAGGGCGTGTTGCACGTCAGCGTGCTGACCTGATTGCCGGGCAATCGCGCGACGCTGCAGCCTGCATCGCCCTCAGCAGCCTCCTCCCTGAGTCCGAGGAGACCCATTTCGCACAGCTTCGCACAGCTCGTGAGTTTCTGACTGCGATTAAGGCCCGCTATGCTACTCCTTCCACTGTCTCTCTTGGACGCCTGTTCCTCCCATTCCTGTTCCTTGACCTCGCCTTGTTTGAGCGCTCTTCTGACCTTATTGCCCACCTGCGCTCGCTTGACGCTAGCTTTAGCGCTGCTTGCACTGACGACCAGCTTGCACTGCTGCCTCCCCCCATGGCGATCACTATCTATTTCATCGCCACTAGCCTCCCTGACCGCCTTGCTTCGGTTCGTGACGCGCTTCTTCTGAAGCACCCTAGCGAGCTCACTATCGGCGTCCTTGAGTCTGCTCTCAAGGACGTCGAGAGTAACCTCTGCTCCGTAGCCTCCGCCTCTAGTGCTGTGCCCCCCTCCCCTGTTTCACGGGTCCACTGTCCCTCAGCTGCCCACCTTTACTATCTCCCTCGCCACTGCTGCTACTGACGTGACCGCAGCTGCTGTTACGACTTCTTCGCGGTCTCGGGGTAGGGGTGGCAAGAGGAGCGGCCAGGGTGCGGGCGGGGGCGGCGGAGGCGGCGGGGGTGTCGTGGCGAGCGGTGGCAGCGGGAGTGCAGCGGCTAGAGGAGCGTCTCGTGCAGTGACCAGTAACTCCCCTGCTGCAGCTAGTGGAGGTGCCGCCCCGCTTCGTCTGCCAGCCTCCGGGGGTGGAGCAGCGGCGTGGTACCTGACTCAGCGACAGCAGCAGCAGCCCCTCCCCTCGCAGCAGCCCCCGCAGCAGCAGCGGCAGCAGTGTTTTGGGGCAGGGGACAGGACAGCGTCAGCTCCAGTGTCGTTCACCCTCCGTGCACCTATCACGTTCTGACAGGTGCCCGCCGTGGCCAGCCGTGTGGCCGCACCCACCCACCGGGTCAGTGCTTTGCTCAGCTTACTGACACCGTTCGCTTGGCCTACGGCGTTGACGGCCCTGCCCCTGACTGGTTTCCTCTTGTTCAGTCGCACGGCCTCGCTCTCTGGGGCATGTCTGCTTCTCAGTTGATTGATCTGTTAGGAACTCCTCATGCTATGTATGCTGTTGTTGACTCTAGTGCTTCTGACTCTGTTTACTCGAGTGTTGTTAGCTTAGGTGCTAGTCTTGCTGAGTTGCCTGTTGCTAGTGTAGGTTCTTGTGTAGACACTAGTCTAGGAGCTACTTCGGAGGACGCTACACTGTCTTTCACTCTGGACTCTGGGGCTTCGCACTGTTTCTTCCGCGACCACACGACGCTCACACCGCTTCCTGCGCTGGTCTCTGTAACACTGGCTGATCCCACTTAGGGACCAGTCACTGCTCGCTACACTACTACTCTTCCGTGCCCTGCTGTTCCCTCCGAGTCTCTGACCGGCTTTCACGTCCCCTCGTTCTCGAGGAACTTGGTGGGCGTGAGGCCTCTTGTGAGTCAGCACGTGGGTGTGTGGATTGAGCCCTCTGGCGAGACGGCGGTTAGTGTTGACGGGGACTCGTACGCGCCTCTTGCCACCTTTACTGCTGAGCCGGGCTCCGGTCTCTACACACTTCACACTGGCCCTGGTGGGCAGCAGCGCCAGCAGCAGCCGCAGCAGCAGCAGCAGCAGCAGCAGCAGCAGCAGCAGCAGCAGCAGCAGCAGCAGCAGCAGCAGCAGCAGCAGCAGCAGCAGCAGCAGCAGCAGCAGCAGCAGCAGCAGCAGCAGCAGCAGCAGCAGCCGCAGCAGCAGTAGCAACAGCACAGGAGCTGTGTTGGTTGACTTTCTCATAGACCTTGGTGAGCGGCCGAGCTCTGCACCGACCTTATTCACTGACAACAAGGCGGCGATTCTTCCTTGTCGGGAGCCTCGACTGGAGAGCAGAGTGAAGCACATCAACGTCAGGTACTTTCTTCTGCGAGAGTTGCAGAGGCGTGGACAGGCTTACTTGGACTTTGTGGAGTCCGAGATCAACACTGCAGACCAGGTCGACCCCCCCGAAGTCGGCGCCCCTCCCAGGTCGACGTCTCCCTCGCCGTCCACCAGTGAAAGTCGACCGCCGGCCCTCTAAAGTCGGCGGTTCAGCAGTGGCCTCGTGCAGGTCGACCAAACCCGTCGACCAGCTCACCTAAGTC